TTCTCCATCCTCTCATCTTATTCATTACCTATACAGTAGATATTCTTACAGGCTCCACCAATTTGATGTAAAACCAGACCTTTTTATGCTCCTATGTGGATGAGTAGAGTTAAATTGTGCTGTGAAGGTGCTGAAGTAGGACCCAGCTCCTGTGTTCCCTATGAGCAAACCTTGAGGCCGTGCAATGCTGCTGCAATTTCCATCACTGCAGTGATGCCACTGAGGCTCAGCTCCAGGAAAGTGAAACACATAGGATTCTATGCTCTTACCTGGGTCAGAGGAAGCCATGATTTATGTTAGGATGTCATCAGGTGTCGCTTCCCATCTTTTATGTGCAGTTGTGAACATGGTGTGAACAAGATCAAACAACAGGATCGAAGCACGCATCACACACCACACACGTTTTGAGGCCACTGATGAACGGATGAGCCTTCTTAATTTGTGAGCCAAAAAATAAAAAAATAAAAAAAAAAAATAAAGAGGGTTAGATTGTAGCAATAAAAGTGTAAATGAAAGGAATGAGCAGAGCTAACAGATTACGCTATCGTTCCAGGGCAGACAGCAGAGAAGCCACAGTTGCCCATTTGTGTTTTGACAGTTCATGCATCAGATGAGACATGACAAGAAGGGCACCATGCTTTGGGGGAAGTGGAGGGCAGAACAGGCACTGTTAAGTGTGAATTTAACGGTGCATCTGTTACATGGGCAGCGTGGTTTTGGGGAGTTGGCAAGAAGGCCTTTTGCATGGAGCAAATAACACCCCTCAAAACCAACACATTCAGATTAAGCAGGAGATGTGCTGCAGCTGGGCATGCTGGCTGTCAATTTGTGTGCCTCTAAAAGTGGTCCTGCACAGGGTTTTCAGTTTACTCTGGGAACAGCCCTGTGTGAGCACAGCGAGCTCAGCTTTTCTGAAGCCTTGCAAAGTTTCTGCACTGTCCCACAGCCCTGAGCTTGAAGCCTGATGAGGTACTGCAAGGAAAAGGGTTTCTGTTTCATTGCTCATCTGCCAGCCTTTAAATTCAGTGCATACGGCTGCCATGCAGAGCAGGAAAAAAGTCTTTTCCATTCTGGCCCTCTGTTTCATACATTTGAACCATTATCTGCTATTACTTCTTTCCTTTCTCAAGTCCCAAGAATTCCAATAACCTCAGAATGAAATCTTCCAACTTCTCACCTGTTTTGCACTAAGCTTTCTTGAACTTTTCCATACAGACCATTCTGCCTTAGTATGCAACACTTTTTCCTCTGTATTCTTCTATGTCTGGCTTTATGCACGCCTTTTTTTACACCACTTTGAGGTCTTCTGTGAACTGCAGGTTTCCTTCTGGCAGATGCAAGGCCTGCAAGTTGGGTAAAACATCTCCCCCTTCTGCAGCATCAGTTTGCACAACCTGATGTAGACCAGCAGAGGGACTTGAGAAGAGTCAAACCAATGCACAGCATGGAGCTCCTTGTGGCATTTTCAGGTTTTAACTTTGTTTGGCTAACTTTCCCTTCCTCCCTTAGTCAGCTCCTTCCCAAAACTGCAAATGTACTGGAAAGCCACCCACTGGGAGCAGGTTGTACTGAGACTTGATCGTTTACTCCGCTGATTCACCTTCTGTTTCCCACTTCTCTTTTTTTAAATTATATCATTTCTTTATCCTTCACTCGCTACAGCTGAAGTTTTTTCAAGTAACCTTATGTGAGACATTCCCAAAGCTTTTCTGTGAGCATGCAGGAATGATGCTTGTTTAAGACAGCAGCAACCACAGGCTTTATGCTGATTCAGTGTCTTTGCAGCTCAAATAGAAAGTAAATTTTGGCTGCATTGATGATGGGTGGATGAGATGACCTTAGTGGTCTTCTCCAACCCTAAAGATTCTATGCAGATTCTTTGGGTGTTTCCAGTATCCATCTTTAAGGTACATGGGCAGCTTAGGCTCCCCTGGTCTTTTGCTGACATTCTTCAGGTTTTTCTCCCCACTTCTCTCTTCCCCAGTTCTTTTCATAGAACCATAGCTTGCATAGCAAGGCACCTCTGGCTCCATCCAGTCCAACTGCTGCTCAAGGGACGCCCAGACCATGGTGCCCCAGACAGAAATCCCACTCCACGCTTCTCTTCACTGTCAAGGATCCCTGTACCTTTGAACACAACTTCTGAAAGCACAGGTGAGCAGGGTAGGACAGGACATTTGTAGTCACGGGGACTACATGCAGTATTCAAACCATTCTTTTTTGATGTGTTGGATGCCCCATCCCCGGAGACACCCAAGGTCAGGCTGGACGGGGCTCTGAGCACCTGATGGAGCTGTAAGTGTCTCTGTTCATTGCAGGAGAGTTGGACCAGATGACCTTTAAAGGTCCCTTCCAACTCAAAGCATTCTACAGTTTCTTTGCTGGGAACACAGATCTGGAGCATACAAATGCCTTCTAGCAAATAACAATCACAAAGTAAATCCAACAAAACCAACCTATACGTTTTCCTGAAAGCCACATCCAATTCCTTCAGAATCCCAACAATTCCTCTTGTTCATGAGCTGCACGCTGGCCACCTACGCAACCCTTTCACACATGAACACACGCTGAAGGTCTGGCAGCACACTGTCGTGCTTTAGCAGGTTGCTCTGAGTATCTTCCAGTACTTCAGTCTTTCAAAATAATAACTTCATTACTAAGGAAAAAGCCATTCTGTGGTCGCTGACAGTGAAAGCTGGTATCAAGAAACAAAACTTCTCTCAAATACACATATTCTTCTTCAATTGCCTACTGATAGGACAGAAGCAATTAAATGGTCTTTCTTTCACAAGCCTGCCTTCTTCCAAAAACGCATTAGCTTCTTGCTTTCTGAATGCCGTTTTAACACCTCTCTCACGTTTCAGTTTGGATTCCTTTAACAATTTTGATGGAAGCAAATGTCCAACTTGTGCCAGAGGTCAGTCTGGCTTAAGCTTGCAGCTTGACACTTAGCTGCATTGCTTTCCTATTGGTTTTAAGGCTCAGCTTGGTCCTTTTTTGGTATTATTACAGTAACATCTTTGTCACTCTCAAACTGCCTCCTGACAGTGCATCCAAAAAAAGAAGTCCTATTCCCCATTGCTCACAAAACTTTGGCATGCATGTACCAAGACTGAGCATTGAAACCATTTCCTCGGGCTTCCCCTTTGCTTTAAGGTGATATCAGTAAAAACCATTCCTCCTGTACAAATCTCCTTCAAAAGCACCCACAGACTGTTGATGCAGAACAGAAAATTGCTCAACACTTAAGTTGGCAGCAAGTGCTCCAGTTGCAGTTCCAGCCCTCCTGCTCCCTGCTGGATGTCCCTACAGTGCAGAGGGGAGACCACAACTGGATAAAGGCATTTCAAACAAACCTTTGATTTAATAAAACTCTCTGAGCTCCAGTACTGTCTTTACATGATACACATGGCCCACTGTCAACAACTGCATCTCACTCCATAAGCTGAAAATAGCCTACAGATTGAGATAACACTGACAGAACCACAGAACAGAGGACACAGCCCTGTTTGTGCCCTGAGGCAAGAGGTGAGCACCATGCTTCCCCTTTGACAGCCTGCCCCCATCCCACCAGCTCCCTCAGCAGCTTGTTCTTCTGCTTCTCTTCCCTTCAGCCTGCAACTCAGGGATGCTCAGAGCTAATTCACTGCCCAAGGAAGCACAGCACGAGCTTGGCAGGAAGGGCTGCCAGTTTTACTTGAGTAGAAGGACCACTTTGGAATTGCTGTCACAGCTTAGGAGAAAGTGGCTTAGGAGAAAGTGGCAAAGGGGCTTCTCTGCAGTTTCAGACCTAGAGCTGGAGAAGCCGAGGACACACGTGCATCCCTCTCCTCACATGGCTCCAGGTTACAGGCTCCACTGCTAACCACTGCTTTTATAGCTCTGCAAAAGGAAATCTGGATTACAAGCCTTCCATCTACTCTCCTTCCACATAAAATCAAGCTAAGAGAGAACTGGATGCATACATCCACCTTGACAGTTTTACAGGAAAAGTGTTTAAAGCAAGCACAACATAATTAAATACCAAACAGTGAATCTAGTTTGTGTACTGCAGTCTTAGACAAGGCCGTTTCTTGCAATCAAACATTTTTATGTCTTTTAGAGAAGGAGATTAAAACAGGCCTTAATGTAATTGGAAGCAATGATCTAATACTTCCAGCTTAAAGGCAGCCTTAATGCAGCTATAAAATAGGTGAGAATGCATTTAAATACTGAATAGCTTTGTTCCCTCTTGCTCAGTTTAAGCTACTAGTATGTTTAAGAACGTATATATTTTTAAAGAATATGTAACGTCTACTGTAACATTACAAAAATAATAGCCAAATCCCTAAAGGTTTATAGCAAGTGAAAAACTTGGCAAGATTCAGTTTTGCCCACACCACTGTTTAATAAGAATCAAATAAATGATAGAAGCAACTCACGTCTTTTGTATCTGATACAAGCACATACACACCAGTGTGTGGGCACTTATAAAAATATAAATTAAATCCTCACATTTTCTTTAATAATAATTATTTGAACATAGAATAGTAACATTTCACTGAAGGCTTATGTACAGGGAATCATAGGAAAGCACTATAGATAAGAAAACTGCATTAGTGTTCTGAAAAGTGAGTTTGAACTGGAATTCATATTCAGGCTACTGCTTGAAACCAATACAACTGTCATGAAGCACAAGGCAGATGCAAGGTAAGCCAACCACACTGAACTGAGCAGTCAACACCCTGTATTAGTGTGCTGGTTCTAAGCAGACAAAAGGATAACAAACTTCAATCAACCAACCAATGAAAACACCCTTGTGAAATTGCTCTCTAGAAGGTTTTTCTTCTTAAGTAACTTGACTAGCTTTGTCCAAATCCAGATCCACGCCAGACTACTGGAATAAGGAAAGGGATTTGGAAAGCAGAAGTAGAGAGACACCCATTCAGAAATTCCAGACATGCATGAAGGGTATGGGGTGGTGGTAGAAAAACCCATTTATAGTAAGGAAAAGATACACATACAGTTTTCTTCAGTTTATTATCAGGCAGTGTTATAAACTGCTAAAACCAGACATCTTCACATTATTACACCTGATGCACCATAAAACAGGTTTTTGTTAGTGTAAGAGGCATACTACAAAACTTGCAGAGAACTTCACACAGAAGTCTTTCTTTTTTACCACATTTATTCACATCCAAAATTATGAATTCTGCATACAAATTGAGTCTTTTCTTCCATCTTCTACAGATGCTTTCCAACCAACCAGTTCTAAAACATCAATACCAACAACACTGGTAGTGGGGTATCAACTAGAAAGAGCCACTGTTGCCATTTGCTTAAGACACACACACTTCCTGCTGGATAGCTGGTTGTGGAATTTTACTATCCTCTGTCTTTTCCTGCCCAGGAACTTGGCACACAGTCTTGCGTTTGAATAACCGCAGACTCAACCTTAACAAGTCACTGTCCATTGCTGCAGCATTTGTGTAAGTTTGTTTTGTTGCACCCTGTTGAAATTGAGAAAAAAAAAATAAAAATAGAGAATAGTTGCTTTTAACATGCACTGAGAAACGAACCTGAAGCACTCTCAATGGTTACAAGTTTAATCATACGTATTCGTAAGAAGTATTTGGAGAACTGCAGATTTTTCTATTAGCACACAAGATCACAAAACCTACCATAGGGTCAGAAATGGATGAGTATTTCTTTTAAAAATTATCTAGGTTCTTTTAATTTGGAAGAACAGAGTCTAATAATTCATATAAAAGAACGTGGACTCTCAAGCAGGAAAATAATTCAGTGACTGCCTTTGAAATTGTATTTTACCCAATTAGTTTCATTACTCACTCTCCAAATGCAGAAAGTGTCTCTTCAGAATTTAAATGTTAAAGTAAGAAACAATTTAAGTCCCCAACTTAAATTAATCTTGTGGCATTATTAAAACGTAAACACCCTGTAACTTTTCAATAAAATTCTGATCTATTATTTAAAGGACTAAGTCTGCTCCAGAACAACAAACAGCTACTAGAAAAACTCCCTCCCTAGAGAAACAGTACTATCTACTTCCACATTTTAACCAAGCTCTGTAAACAAATCACTTGCCTTTTCATTCTTCATGAGCTGCTTACGAATTGCAGAATCCCTTCTAAAGCACAGAGCTTTACAGCAAGGACCCAGATTGCTGAGAAGACCTGCTCTCTCCTCTTTTCGTAGGAGTGCAGCCATGTTCAAGGCTCCCAGTTCATGTTCAAAGAGGTTTTCTGCATCTACAAAGATTAACAAATACACGGTATTTTGGAATGGTAATATACAATAATATGCATTTACTGGAGTGAAAAACAATCTTGAAGGAGATTTAACAACTAGCTTATTCTGTTGGTAATTACACATTCTAAAAAGTACAAAGCTAGCACTGTGATTTGTAAAATAAAAAGGAACAAATCTTTCACCAACCAGTTATTGGTTAAATGATGGTGTACTTGTATGTAGCTTCAGCACTGGAAAGCAGTACTGGCACAGCATTGCAGAGAAACCTAAAAATTAAGTGACAGCTCTGAGACAGAAGAGGCTATGGCATTCAAGGTCAGATATGTGTGAAGAAAGGTGTTTCCTGCTAGTATTTATCATAAGGTTGGTAAAGTTCCACTTCCCTGCAAAGCATAGTATAATTGTACCACTGTCAACATGGGATTTCAGAGGCTATGTAAGAGTGAAAGACAGCTCTGAAGAGTACATCATTTATCCATGGCATCAACAAATACTAGTGAACTGTGCCCCACTTCAGGTCTACCTAAAGCATCTGCTAATAGCACTCAAAGAGCCAACATTAGCTCTTTACTACAGAAAAAAAAAGAAGTGCAGCTATAGCAATCAAAGTTGCTTTTTCAGATGGCTCCTAACGCATATCTTCTGTAGTACCTTTTTTCTTTGAGATGTTGGCAAAGACAAAAAGAATACATGTGTCTGGACTGTAGTATATTTATTTATAAACCTTTCACAATAAATGGGAAGATACTGAAAATATTGTGTTCTACATTTAATAGTCCAATGCAATCTTCTCTGTATAGCAAAAGATGTGGTGCTTGGCTGAGAATCCTAGCAGGAGACAATGCATGTGCTTGAAAGCACATTTCACATGTGGTAACTTTGATGAGCAGAAAACTGCACACATCAAAGGGAAAGTAATGGAGACACTTCAACCTCTCTTTCTCTCTGGAGTAAAGTCTCCTGCATCTGAATACACTCAAAAACAACACAGAGGAAGTGCCAGAGAGACATCTACTATCACATCTCTCCTGAATCTTATTTCTAGAGATGCATGCAAGGACTGCTGAGGTGGTTTCAGGTAATATTTTAAACAACCAGGTGAATTCTGCACTGCGGTTCTTGTTGCAAGGAATGCCTGAGAAGAGCTGATGAAGTATAAAGGAAAATTAAAGCTTACAGAGAAAATGACATTGTTCCTACTAGATCAGACTGTTTGCAAGCTCAGGAAGATAAATAGTGTGTTATATCAGTTATGGAAATTCCTAGGCATAAGACCTAAGATCGTTTTTTAAACCAGAGAAAAGCAAATACTGCAAAAAAAAAAAAAAAAAAAAAAAGAAAGAAAGAACTGCAAGCATCACAGAATGCTTACACGACTGCTGGAATTAAGACACTAATCTGACTGATAGGCAGCTGTATTAGATTCCTGAAATACTTATGCAGTGTTCAGCATACACTTGTTATGGCCTAAAAACATGAAAGAATGAACTAGCACCCATTTCATTAAACACTGTTACTAAGAACAAAAAAGACAAGTTTAACCCCTTGAGAAACAATTACCTTTAGGTTTCTCTAGTGCTTTCTGGCATGTCTCTTTAATTTTAGTGAAGAGTTCTGGTCCAGCCAATCGCTTGGAAATGCCAACTCTCAACATAACAGCACCTGGCGTGAACTTCAAGAGTGCAGCCCCAGCCTCTCGTGGTTCTTTTGGCTGCTTTGGCATGAGACTGGACCAATCAACATCTATAACATCCACAGGATCTGCAAAAACATTGACAGAGAATGAGTTATCACATCATCGCCCCCTACCACAGCTGATTAGTTTCACAGGCTGCATACATCCATCTCCTGAGAGCAATATCTATCAGAAGAACATTGTTCTTGAGTTGTCACCAAAGAGAGTTCCTTAGACACTTCAAATAAGAGCACCGAAACTCACTTAGACTGGTGAGAATAAGGTGGGTACAATTCCTTAAAGAACATAAACCTTACTGGATTAAAATCAAGACTCCTACAATTCTACTTCATGTTGATCCTAACAACTTTGTGAAAGGCTGCTTGGACTCTGCTTAGCCAGCAGATATGGATGCATCACTCATGCATTCACAGCAGTGCCAGTACCACTAATGTGCTATGATAGATCCAAATTTCATGCTTAAAAAGCTAGTAACTCAACCCTGGATGCTGTTCTTCTGAGAAGAGAGATGTATTAGATATTGAATGACTCATAGAACTATGGGTGTAAAGTTATTACAGAACATATGAATGCTGATCATATAACTGAAACTACGACAAGTAGAAGACTCCATGTTTCCCAGTGCATCTGAGAAGCATTCTAGCAATGATAAAATCTCTTCCTAAAAGTATCAGCTCCAAGTAACAATCAATACCAAACAGGACAAGTAAAAACACATTTATAAAACTAAACCTCATCCTTCTAGTTATACAGAACATAACAAATATTACTTCAAAACATAGCTCTCAGTACTCTATGCTTCACAGGCTTACCTGACCACTACAGGACAAATAAGGAATGCTGAGAAGCACAAACTGCATTCTGAATTCAGAATACTATCTGCAATACTATCTGCAATACTATATGGGAAGAACAAAGTAGCACTACATGCAAACTGATCTAGACTTTATTTTCAAATAATCACAAAGGGGTTTTGCTATACTTTTACCAGGCATCTTCTCATCTTCTTGTTGATCCTCCCTCTTTTCTGCATCACCTGCCAGAATTTCATCCAGTTCATCATCACTGATTGGTTCGTATTCTCCAGCACCAGATGCCAGTGACTGTACATCATCAATCTTTGCTTCATCTTCTCCTCCTACAGAGGCAGATACATACTGTAGCTTTAAAGGAGTCATCCTTGTTTTCCAAATGTGCTTTAAGCAGGTTGAAGAAGAAGAAGTTTGCTAAACTAGCTTGTAAGTTCTATGGGATGAATATATTCAAAACGAATATAGGTATTCACTCATGGAGACAGAAGAGTTATTTCTCCCATGTACAATACAGCAGTTTGAATTTGTCACATCTTGGTCAATTTGTTTTGTGCAATAATAGTCAAACTACATACAGAAGGCCATACTCAGAAGAAATATATGTTGATTATCTGGTATGCAGTTACTAACATAAATCTACGTTAGTACCAACACAAATTCTTCCAGATGATCTTCCACATGAATGCTAGCTCAAATACTGAGCACAAAAGCTTTTCAAGACAAATAAGTAACAAAACTCCAAAATACAAGAGTGTGTGAGATAGACTGATGTGAGCAATTATTCTTAGAGTTTTTGATTCTTAGTGGAAATCACAAGAGTTTGAAGAAAGCTGTGACAAATTTCTTCAGTTGTTGCAGTCATATAGTATGCACATACAAACAGAACCATACATCTCTATGTGTCTATGTAATTACCTGTGATGCATGCATAAACAAGTTCCTTAAAGTCAGAAAACACAAGACACTCAAATACTGCATTCTGCAAATCATGAAAGGTACATCTGAAGGTACTCGTCTCATTTCCAAGCCTGAAAGACCTGACTGAAGCATTCAAAAACCCAACTGTTCAAAATTCAGACTTGAAGACTCCCCTGCCAAGGTGCTTGCCAGCTGTGCAGTGTAAAATAGACAGAATCTGTAAGATCCTTCCGTGTGGGTGATTGTTCTATCTTCCAATTTCCTTATCCAGAATGATAACTGCTTCTGTGTCAAGATGCAATCTTTCATTTTTTTTTTCCCTTCCTTTGTAAATGCTAAAGGAAATGCCACCTTAGCTAACCTAAACACCAGCAAAACAAGTAAAATACATGCTAGGAGAGTGTAAATTGACTATTCAGACCACCTGGTAGTGCTTTGGAGGAAGCATATACCATCCTGGGCATCATTTAAACCTACTCCTGCAGCAAACACATTAAGGTTCAACACATCACCATAATTAAGTAACTATATCCTCAAATATTTTCCTAGAAAATAGATTAAATTCATTCAAATAAATTCCAGACATATCATCAGATCCGGAAATTGTGTTCAGTTAGTTGTCTATCTTCTTTAAAACAATAATATGGTAAATATGGTAATCTTTGAAAGATTTCATTTCTTACAACTGGGCTTCATGAAGAGCAGATTGTGCCTGACCAATCTGGTGCCCTTTTACAGTGGAGTGACAGCATCAGTGGATGAAGGAGAGGCAACTGTCTACCTGGACTTGTGCAGGGCCTTTGACACGGTCCAGCTCTACATCCTGATCTCTAATTAGGAAAGGGATGGGTTTGAAGGCTGGACTATGCAGTGGATAAAGAACTGGTTGGATGGTTGCAGCCAGAGAGTTGTTGTCAATAGCTCTACATCCAGGCAGAGCCTGGTCATGAGTGAGACCATCAAAAGATGGTCCTAATGAAGGCTTCCCAACTAAGTTGTAGATGCCCCATCCCTGGAGGTGTTCAAGGCCAGGTTGGATGTCACTCTTGGCAATTTGATCTAGTGCCTGATTTACTGGCTGACAACCTTGTCTGCAGCAGGGATACTGGAACCAGATGATCTCTGAAGTTCCTTCCAACTTCAGTCATTCTATGATTCTATGATAATCTACATCACTTTCTCAGCACTTAGATTCTTGCTTCTTTTGTATGTTTATATTGGTTAGCTCTATTTCCAAACTCCCTCTCCTGGTAAAGAAACTGTTTGTTCCTTACTTTACTATGTTTTCCCCAGTACCATTAGGGATAGCAAACTGAAGGCTGCATTTAGTAAAAATAACTCAGCAAAGATATTTTTGGACCATTCTGCCAAGCCATACATACATTTAACCTACTAATCAGACAATTATTTCTCCACTAATTGGACTATGCAGAAAAAAAATCCCAAATAAGAGTCTCAAGTCAACACTCATTTTTTTTCACTCATTACCTGTCAATTCCAAACTAACAAACAGATCTTAGAATAGTGTACCAAAGCAATTAAATTTTTGGCATTATTCTTCAGCAAACTGGCTATGCAGAAATGTTACACCTTGGCAAAATTATATCTCATATCATTTATGCTTCTTCGACTCAGTATTTCTTTAGAAAAAAAACAACACTAATATTCACATAATTAACACTAAGGCAATGCTCATTAGAATTCTCCCTCATCCTATTATGCCTACAGATAGAAAAGCTGGAGCCAATATCCCTTTCATTAACAAAGCTTTCTAGCGTTGCTCAGTTCAGCACTGTGCTAAAAAGGAAAGAATAAAATATCTGACAGTCAAGGTGCTTCCCCAGAACATCTCACCTTCTAGACTCTCTACCTTTTCAGCCTCATTTCCATCTTCAAAACCTTGTAACGATCCTAGATCTTTGTCTGGTCTTTCCTTCTCTGAAGCTGCAGAATCTCGACAAACACCGTCAAATTCTTTTTCGTGATCTCTGTCCAATTTTGTTTCACCGTGCTTTGTTGATTCTTTTTGAGAGGAAATGTCCAGAGTTCTGTCCCTCTCTCTTTCAGCAGTATCAGGCAGCTGTCTGTCTCTCTCTCTGTCCAGCTCCCTTCTCTTCTCCCTCTCTCTCTCGCGTTCTCGGAGTCTCTCCCTCTCCCTGCTCCTTGGCCAGTCTTTGTCGATGTCTCGGTCTCGATCCCAGTCTCTCTGTCTCCCCTCTCTCCTGTCTCTGTCTCGCTCTCGATCATGGTCATGTCGATCTCGCTCCTGAAGCCTTTCCCTGCTGTCAAAGGACCCAGATCTGGAGTGGACCTGACGATCTGACTCAGGAGAACTTCTTCTTGAACTGTGGCTTCTTGAATCTTGACGATCTGGTTAAAATATTTTAAATACAGGCATGACAGGAGCTCATGAAACCTTTTTGCTACACCAAACTATTTTAAGGAGTCTGGTACGAAAACTGACTTCTGAAAAGTATCATCTGCAAATTAATGATATGTCTGCAAGTCCCAAAAAAGAGATTTTTGGTGGCTACTTTCTGATGATTTCTGCTGCTACTTTCAGCAAAACTGAAGTACATAATTTACTCATAAGTCTAAGCAAGAATAGGAAATAAAGAAGGAATCATCTCAAAATTATTTTCAAAACATGTTTTTTCAAAAGCTAAGGATTCTTGGCTAGCAAATGATAAATTCAGAGATCAGTTATGGCAAAAACCATTATAAGAGTCAAAACTGATTTATGAAGAAGATATTTTTTTATTGACGTTGTCTATATTTTACAGAAATTTTTCAGTCATTTTTTTATAGGAACTACAGAAATAAAATAAATCATGATTCCTTGGATCTGCAATAAAGATGATGTCCATATGCACTCTATGTATCTCTATGCATAGTATCTCTATGAAGAATCATGACAGATCCTCAGAACAAAACGGATCCCTCTCCCAGCATGAAGGGACATTTGCATAGATCTCAGACTTTCCACATGAAATTGAATGTTGATAATTCATTAAAAACACTATTTCAATAAAACCAGTTCACTGTTCCGTTAGCAGAAGGATTTTCTCTTTCAGTTTCATCTGTCCTAGAAATTACTTTATCCTCTAGACAGCAGGAGCTGCCAAATCTGACTGAATGCTTTGATACGAACACAGTGGTAATAAAGCTCATTGAGAATCAACTTTTCAAACATGGTCTAACACTTCCAGGAATCTTGATTCACTCTATGAATGGCAGGGAACTTCCCTCTCCCCTCATATTGATCACAAATTAAGAGACTATATAGCCATACAAGAACAATTTGGGATTTGTACCTTCGCACTTCCGCAGAGAATGGCAGATCCAGACTCACTAAAAAATATATTCTTACCTGAAGACGTGCTGCGACTGGGCTCCCCTCTTTTCAACTGATCAATTCTGGACTTTCGTTCCCCAGTGATTTCTAAGCTTTTCTTCTCTCTGTCCCTGTCCCTAGAGGTACTGTGCAGGATCCTCTTCCGTCCAGTCTGGTCATCACCACTGCGATGAGCTGACTCATTGGAAGGGGATCGAAGTCTGCTTGAGGCATGGCTCCGATTGCTACCAAGACTGCTGCTGCGCTTCTGATCCACAGGTTTACGATGTGATCCATCATCTATAGTAACATGTGGGGCTTCCACCTTTTCTACTCTCATCCTGTGACTTTTTCTATGGGACTCCTCAGTGCTTCTTTCTGGAACGACAATGTCACCACGTTCTGGGACATCTTCATCGGACCAGTCACTAAATGTCGTCTCTTCTCTTTTCTGGGGGACTTCTGCCACAGCTTTCTCAGGTGGTGCTTCAACCAATTCCTCTTTTGTGACAGGAGGGGTTCTCGGGCCTTTCTTCTTTTTATGATGTGGAACAATTTCTTCATCAGAAACCTCAGAATCACCCTTGGATCTCTTCCGCTTTTTCTCCACGTTTTTCTTTTTCTGACCTTTCTTGGGAGAAAAGACCTGGCTTTCTTCAGTCGTTGATTCATTAGTGTACCTTTCCACCCCACTGTCATCTTCTTTCTTTTTCTTTGTGGCCTTTTTCTGTATTTTAGACTTCTTCTTGCTGTCATCGTGCATTCTATCAGAAGCATCTCTTTCTTCAGAGGGACGGCGTCCAAGACTCTCCTGAACTCTGGACCGGGAGCCCTCTGAAGAATCTGGTTGCTCTCTCTGCTTATCTGATGAAGAAATTCTCTCTTTAAACTCTGGTTCTTCGTAACGCCGGGAACTTTCCTTTCTGTCTGATTTTCGTTCTTCTTCTTTCCAGCGGCTCTGTCTGTCTTCTGCAATGTGAGAGGGACTCAGTGACCGGGACTCCTGTGGTCGCACAACCTGGCTCAGAAGTCTGTGCTTTTCATCTACAAAAATGGTAAAAAGAATGTACTTGTATCATTTAGAAAGGAGAACAGGTGAATATGTGGCATCTTCTGCATGCTAATAGGTATCAATCAAAACAAATAATCCATCATTTCATTTACGTATTTTGTTTTCCTGTGTTTTTTTTTTTAATGTGCTGCAGCAGCCAAGACTGCTTTTGCTTTGGTAAGCATGCATCTTAACAGATATGGAAGGGGAAGAGGAGACTTACAAAAATCTTCTTTGTGGCTTTTTTTTCTATGTAAGACTGCAAGTTATTTTCCATAGGCAAAGGCTACTTACTTTTATCATCTCCACTGTTGTAAGCATCACTGTCAGGAGAGTGCTCACGGCGACGTTTGGGTGACTGACGAGGGCTTGGACTGCTTTCATTTCTGTGACGCTTCCTGCAGAGCAAATATTTGTAGTCAAATTCCTTGAGGGTTCTTTAAAGAAAACATTAAATAATTGAGTTTATCATCGATCGATCCAATCTCTGAAGCATAAGCACCGCAAACATAACACACCTCATACAAGATAACATGAGCAAGGATGCCAAAAAGTTTTGTCGCTTTCTAAGTTATTTTAAAACCTGAAGTATTCTTTCTTGTCATAAACATGTAAAGTAAACAATAAACTAAAACTCTAATACTTCAAACAACTTTTTTTTTAACAAGAAGGTATGAAAGAATATTAAAATCACTGTTTTTCCTGTGGCAATGATCCTTGCAATGGGCTGACCTCAGCTGGCAGCTAAGCTCTAACGTAAATGTTTACTTTTCCCCCCAAAGGGATGGAGGAAAGCTAGATTAACTATAGAGCTCCACAATTCTGTCACATAAAATCTAGTATTATTTCCAAGCAAAGCTGCAACTCAGGACAACACTGCATTGCTCATTATTGATGTCACAACGAGAATTTTATTGTACTAGCTGAAAAAAAAAAAAGAGAATGAGTGGCATTTACTTAAAAAATAGAAACATCACACATTTACTTGGGTACTGTTCATGCCTTCCCTGTGTAGCCTTCTGGCGCTGAAAAGTCAACAGTGCAAAGGGTAATGTATGCTCAATAGAAATTTAATGAATAAAGTCATGAACTCCAACCCAACACAGCAGCTATCCGACTCATGAAAATTCAAAAGGTACCACAGTCTGCACTAAGTGTGTAATGCCTGCACTATAAAACCAAGGCCACACAAGCACACTTAGAAGAGGAAATGGTATGTTCTGATTCAGTCGTCAAATCCTGAGTTGTTCCATGATTTTGCACTAGGAAAGCACCATGCTAAGTACACCAACACAGCATACACACTGATTTTGTAGCTACTGGCACATGACGCATAGATACAGGGAAGGCATGGCTCTAGACTGCACCTCTGCATAAACATGGCATCCTCTCTGTCCTTATGATACTGCCCTGCTCACTGGCTGACATCAACACTAAAAGACGTTTTTCTTTTGACTAAAAGAACATTCAGATCTACTTACTTGGACTTCCTTTCTTCATGGACATCTCTCGAGCTTCTTTCTTCTCGAATATCTTCTCTCTTATCCCTGCGGTCTTCTCTCCCTTTGTCTTTGTCATCCCAGTCTCTCTGGCGCTCTCTTTCTTTATCCCTGTCTCGACCTCGCTCCCTTTCTCGTTCCCGCTCGCGATCTCTTTCACGCTCTCTCTCCCTCTCTCGTTCCTCCCTCTCTCGCTCTCTCTCCTTCTCTCTTTCTCTTTCTCGTTCCCTTTCTCTGTCATGGTCCCGGTCTCGATCACGCTCACGATCCCTATCTTTGTCCCTCTCTCGCTCCCTCTCTCGCTCCCGAGCACGATCTCGTTCCAACTCCCTTTCCTTCTCTCTCTCTCGTTCCCGGTCTCTTTCTCTCTCCCTCTCTCGGTCCCTCTCTCTTTCTCGCTCTCTCTCCCGGGCCCTTTCATCTCTCCTATCATCACTTCGGTCTACCCTTCGTTCATCTCGTCTTTCGTCCCGCTCGAGGTCATCACTTCGTCCTTGATGCCGTACTGGTGAGCTTGCTCTCTGATCTGTGAGAAGAGGGAAGTTTCGGTTACCAAGTGTTCCATGGATGACATATACGTTACTTGCACTGCACTAATAACATACTGAGAGTTTTTGTTTTGACAATATTGACGATATTGGTTTGCATTAAAAGAGAAGTGACTCCCTGCAGAAACCTGGGTATTCTCTTGGGGCGAGAGGGATACAAAAAGCAGAACTACTTTTGATTTTATTTTTTTTTAATCAGTATTTCAGGAGGGAGCTTTCCTTACTTTAGAAAGAAGTCACTAGGAAAATTTTATTTTCTATCAGATGGTTCTGAAAGGGTTCAATAGGTAATTATATAAACTCAGTCTAGCCACTATTACCACATGATGGAATCATTCAAAATCTTGTACAGGATCCTGGAAAGCTCAGAATGACATAGGCATGAAAACGAAGTATTAGAACTTCTTTAAGAAAATGTTACCCCTAAAAACCAAGCATCACAGGCTTACAAGAATTCACTGCGTTTATTTTGCTTCAATTTTTACTATATATCTCCTATATATCGCCTATCTCCTCCCAAAAGAGATCCCTGCAGAGAAAGGCAAAACCAAATCCAACCGAAAAGGAGAGATGATGACGAAATACAGAATGCATACCTGCCCTAAGTTTTCATGTGTCTTCAAAGAAGCTGAGTTTTTCAATGTTCAGACAGTGGATCAGGGTTATCAAGAAAACTACACTCATATGTAAAATAACTGATCCCCAAGGACAGTGAAGCTTGATTATCTAGGGGTATTTGCTCAGTGGAAATCTACAGCTGAAGTTTAGCTGCACTTTATTACTTCTTAATATATTTTATTTGAACATTTCGGTAAATTTTGATGACTTTGTAACAATTTTTGTGCTGATATTAGAGGTATTTCAACAGTGAAAGATCAATAAAACTTATTCCACTATACATACCCGAAGCATTATACAACAAACACAAACTGTGGAAAAAGAGTGAAGGCCATCACTTTGAGCATACCTCCCCATAAACTGAAACAATGCCCACCAGGGACAAGCAGGCAGCATCTGAACAGGACTTAGTCAATAAAACATGCACATTTCCATTGGTTTAATCAATTTTAATCTCAGAGTGAATTAATAATGATTTAATGCTCCCCCGTTAGCAGGTAAAATTAAAAGTAAACTTGAATGACATTTCTGCCATAGATGTTAATACTTTTTTTTACAGATCTTAAAACATCAGTTCATGCAATTGGTTCCACGATAGGTTTCATATCCTTCAAACGGTGTCTGTAACTATATAAGATGATATATTGGGCATACCTAGTACTAAGTTTTAGACAAAAGTTCTGCAATATTTACTAGGTCAGGTTTTGTGACAAAACATAGACACAAAACATTTACACTACTCAAGATACCTGCAAGTGTATTAGACATTTGAACATGGAACACCAGCACTTCTTGAACAACCTTATTATATGAAGCACCACTGCAACAGTGGTTGGGTATACCAACCTAGGTACTTCAGCTCAATTAAAGAGAGATCAAATACACAGGCTTGCATTTTAAAATCACACTGAAAAGTTTCTTTATACCTCACTGAACAAAGCACCAACAAGAATCTACCCTGATACCCCCCCAAATGACAAATTTTAAGACACTGGTCTAATCATGGAAACTATGTGTTGACTTGTATCTCTGAATTGGATTTGAAATTAGAAAAAATGATCTAACTTTTTAAGGACGAAATGACAAATTTTATCTCCATTTAAGTCCTTTATCTATTTGTAACTTGTCTTTACTTCTAAGGTGCTGTTTCTTTTTGTTTTTAATGAAAAACTCAGTATGATAGGGAAAGTACAAACTAAGTTATTCACTGGGTGTTCAGAAATGGATGTGAAAGCTAGTCTGCAAGAGCTGACCTCCCAGGGCACATTCAAACTGCAGCATTTTTCAGCTAACATGAGAAAGGAAACCTAGAGAACAGGTCTGCTGAAATTCTGCCTTGAAGACACAAGAGAATCTAGGGCAATAACTTTAACAACAACAAGCAATAACAGACATATTTCAGCAGGCCAAAAAACATTCCACAAAGTAGCACACAAAACATCCCTTTGAAAAACTGAAGGTGAACACCTAGAAAACACCTGTCCTTTACAAAACTTTCTTATTGAGAGAGAAAAAAAATCACTGTAGTTTTATATTTGTTCTTCATAGCTCCTCCTTTCATTTCCATAACATTTTAATTTGCTTGACTTCTCTTCCCTTAAATAGTGAGCAATACAAATGTTCTCCAGAGTAGAACTTGTTACTGAGTTACTCAGAGACAATAGAGTATGCTTTCAGATGAAAAAGTGTGACATCTTTCATTCTCCGCCTAAAAGAACAATCCTGCATCTTCTTTCCATGATAACTGGTATCTGTATCATCTTTACAGGTTACCCCTATCGATGAATTTAATTTGAAGTATAGGATTAATATTAGCGCATAGTTATTTATGAATTAGTAGTGGGAGGAGGTGGAAATAAAGGATATCCACCTTCATACATACACTGTGTGTGTGTAATACATATCTATGTGTGTGTAACACATGCATTAAAATACCTCTTTCTCTGTTGTCCCGCCTGTCCCGTTCACCATGCCTTCTTTCAAAGGAGGAATCCCTTGCTTGGTCTCGACTATCATAGCGATCCCGATCAGGGTAGCTACTCCTTGATTCCCAACTGTCATGGTAGTTTCCACTACTGCTGTGACCATCAACCTGGGATCCTCTAGTCCCCCGACTTCCTAATAGTGATGTAACAATATAAAAGATGAGTTCTCACACATATGGAAATCCATTCATGTTTTACTCTAACTGTAGTATCAACGTTTCATCAAACTGTTCAACACAGTGCACCAAACTTTCAAAAATACTGTCAAAGTTTAAAATTTCCCCCTTTTTTTCCTCTTTATCAAATAAGAGGAGATGGGGAAGAAATACAGTCTGCACAGCTGCTTTTGAGAAAATAAAATTGCTGTCCAGAACTTGGAGACCTGCTGTTCCCTACTAATCTCCTACACATCAGCCTCTTGTTGCTTGTGGCCCATGAGAAAACCCAGGGTTGGGCAACAGAATCATCTAGGTTGTTGCATGGACTCGAGTTTGTTTTAAACCAATATGGCAGAATACCAGTGTCACGTCTCTTTTTTAACAAATGGAAAAAGCAAAAGGGCTATAATTTTAATCAATCCTTCTAATTTAATAACAAAACAACTGTGAACATAACTTAAAAGGATGAACTATTTGGCAGTTTCCATATGTTTTGTCAAACAAGGTAATACAGATGTCAAGACTCAATCTCCAATGATAAAGATGCTTACTGATGTTTTAAATCATGTAATACCTTTGTCAGATAATTCTGGACCTCTGCCTCGACTTCTGCCAGTTCGATCGCTTCTGCTCTCATTTCTGGAATCACTTCTGGAGTCATTCCTTGTTTCAGCACGAGAGCTCTCCTCTCTGCCATGGGACCTTCCATAGCTGCGTGAGTCCTCCTGGTACTGGTCATCCTTTTTATGGGCATCCCGACTTTCTCTGTCTCTGTAGTCGTGAGAATCTCGCGTGGAACGTGAGTCTCTTTGATCACGACTATCTTTGTTATCTCTGCTATAATCTCTTGTGTCTCTAGAGTCTCGAGTGTCTCTGGATTCCCTCGTCTCCCTCCGATCTCTGTTATCTCTTGTGTCCCTCCGATCTCTTCCATCACGAGATTCTCTATCGTCTCTATGATCCCTGGAGGTACTCTGCTCCTGGTCATAATCACGATCATCTCTTGTTTCTCTTTCTTTTTCCCTTTTCCCTCTAGTTTCTGTAAAATATTTTTAAAAGTGTTATATACCCAACTTAATCAACGCAAGCAAAAATTGAGAAGAAACATTAAATCAATATCGTAAAAGTAAACTTCGACATACTCACAGTAAATTAGAATTAATATGGGAGAAGGATAACGTGATACTGTGTATCCATCTAAATACTCAATAAGCTCTAAAGATTTTTTTGTGAATTTGAATTTGTACTTTACAAATACTTAGCAATTCAGAAAAGCGTACGTATAGTACAATAAATTTCTAAGACATTAGAAAGAAAGCGCACTTCAACAATTTAAAGACAGTTATCATTTGTCTTCCAAACATAGTTCTTTTCTATTCTACACACACGTACTTTCAGGAAATCTGTGCTATAACTGGACCACCTGCTTTTAAGACCTCAATGCTCTGCTAAAATCTTTTTGTTTGTTTGTTTGTTTATAATGCTATTGTTCAGGAAAGTGAGTTTATAGTAGGTCTAAAAAAAGCTGACAAATGCAATCTCTGTAATTGATCCCTTGAGAGAAATGGCATGTTTGTCCATTACAAATTGTTCAACCAACTTTACAGACTTCCAGAAGAAACAATTCTTTTTTTTTTTTGCATGTACCTCACTTAATGAAAAAGACAGGCTTGTCAACCACTAGATCAGACTGCCCAGGAACCCATCAAGCCTGGGCTTGAATGCCTTCAGGGATGGGGCATAGACAGATCTAGAGATAACCCCATGACAGATGGGGCATTCACAGCTTCTCTGGGCAGTCTGTTCCAGCACCCTCTGAGTGAAGAATTTCTGCCTAACATGTAACCTAAACCTCCCCTTTTTCAGTTTAAATTCATTCCACCTTGTCCTATCACTATCTACTTGCACGAAAAAGTCAATCCCCCTCCTGCTTACAAGCTCCTTTCAAGTACATGCAGATAGCAGTGAGGTCTCCCCACAGCCTTCTCTTCCCCAGACTAAACAATTTCAACTCCCTCAACCTCTCACCATAGACGGGGTGCTCCAGCTAATGCTTCTTAAAAATGTAAGATCACTTACCTACTGTCATCATTACTGCTTCACACAAGAAACACCTAAACAGATGCCTACAGGATCTCTTGCATCAGCTGAGCCTACCCAAGTAGTGCCAACAGAGCAAAGCCACTGCACAGTCCCCAAAACAAGCACCATCAGCAGAGAAAGAATAATACAGCTTTCTGATTATTTTCTTCACCACCTTGGCCACTGGGATAAAGACAATGCCACAAACTGAAAACCAAGGTACAAAATGCAATCTGCAAACAAATAAAACCTGTCCTCAAGTGCTATTTTTATTCATACCATCCCGCCTTTCGTGGCGCCTGTCATGAGACTGTGAAGTTCGGTCTCGATCGTGCCTTCCCTTTTCTCTTCCAGGGGATCGGTGCCTTGAAGGGCTTCGCTTCCTCTGAGGAGAAGAGGAAGAACGTGGGGGGTAGGGGGAAGATGATCGCCTTGCATGCGGAGAAGCTGTCCTTTGATAGGAGGGAGAAGGAGTTCTTTTGCGGTGTGGGGAAGGAGAATGTCTTTGAACAGAGGAACCTGACTGTGATGAAGAAGAGTGATGTCTAGAGGATATGGGAGAATGACGCTGGCCAGATGGAGAAGCAGATCTGCAAGAAAGGGTTACAAAAGTTAAATTACTAGACCTTACTTAAACTCGAGGGATTAAATTAAATTGTGCATTCTCTATCCTCTGTCTGCTGGAAACAAGTTCTACTTCTTATTACAAAGCACTGATCTTCAAACAATTTAGACTTGTATCCTGGAAACTCATACATGTATCTTCTTAAAAGTTGAACAAACATGAATGTTACAAGCAGCGAAATCTTTTACTTTATAAAGTAAGAAAAAATATACAGTAAGTTTCTCTCATCTTGGAAATCCCATAGCTTAACTAAATTCCATTTACAGAACAGTGAACGGATTTCCTCAAAATGTGTGACCACATGCACATCCAACATAGACACATAAAGGCTTCAAGCCTTTGAGCTCAGCAGCAGCTGTTTCACCTTATCAGCATCTAAGCAACTTGCAAGTGTCTTTTCACAGGAAATACACGTTGCTCTTATTTCCCAGCTCCCTTCTAATTCACAGGATTTCAGAGACTCCAAACAGAAGAGCAGGAGTCAGAATAACAGCGCATTTTCAAAAAAAATCACTTAAGTAATTTACTTTATGCTTTTAAATGTCTTTATAGTGTCAGTAACTTTAAACAAATCTCCAGATCTTACAGATGAATTTCTCAGTTTCAGGTGACTCACAAAGGAAGGACTACTTTACCAAAGGCAAGATCTTCCCTACAATATTCCACAATAGCCCAGCAGGTTGTAGTTGGTAGAGATTCATATGTAATACAAGTTTTGCTGAATATCTTGAAAATGTCACAAGAAATTATTCTCAGTGGGTAGCTGATGTCAGTTGGACTCTAAATAGAATAAGCCCCAGAGTGCTTCAGGTTAGCAGGCTTTCAGCATGTCAAGTTGCTCTCGAGAAGCTAAATTAACAGCCATCAATGCTGCTCAGCAATAGATCTCATGGCTAAGGCCATTTTCTAATAGACTAAGACTGTGCAGGTAAAAAGATTCTTCTCATGTCAAGAACAGAGGAACGATTCAGCTTCCAAGGAGCAAAGCTCTGTGAACAGAATGCTAAGTGTAGTCACTGGTGATCTGAGACAGGAACCCAAGTCTGTATGGAAGTCTTTTTTGGGTAAAAAACATGGTGGGAATCTGCTATTAATATCAGCATTTCATCCTCCTAGTTAATGTCAATGACTCAAAAAACCTGAAAAACTGAAAGAAAGGAAGGGATGAGACAGAAAAATAAATAAAATCAGTCTTTGAAGATATTTAACAGAAAAAAAGCTGAAGAATAGGTTGCATCTGTTTTTTGATTTAATGTGTACTGCGTCTACAAGTCTGTACGCTTGCAGAAAGATACTGCCAGGCCTGGAAACTATCCCACTAAGATGCATCTATGATGGTCAATGCCAGAGACTATTTGTAGCACTCAAGAGCAGGCTAAGAATTTGCATCTCTTTATCTGAATATATAAAATTGCATAGGATCCAGCTGATGTATTTTTGTAGACTAGGGATGCCTGGAACATCTCCAGACTGTCTGACATCATGGATCTTTAAGTGTAGCCTCTTTTGTCTGAAAAAAATAAAAATTCTCAAGGTCTCCTGTGCATGCTACAGGTAAATATTCTTCATGGATGGCAGGAAATAGTAAACTCAAATTTCTCAGTCTCCGTAAGTGTATATTTGCACTGGCTGTAGCTTGCTATCACAAGAGGGAAGGCCTGACTACTGAGGGCAGAGGACTGATTCCTGAGGGAATATGTAGTTCTGTATGCCACTAAGATGATAATTTGTTCACAGGGTTGCATACAATCGAAACAGATGGCTGAAACCAGTAGTAAAGCTCCCAAAGTGCTCTGAAAGTAAAACACAGTCAGAGCCAGAACTGAGAGAATCTGATTTCATGACTTACCATCTTTACATTTACTTTTCACTGGAGACAAGCAGAATGTTTCAAACATGTTTCCTTCCCTCTAACAGAAGGCTTACTGTTTCTCTGTTTAATTCCATTCCACAATACTTCAAATGTCTGCATAAATCCCCATATGAATAGTGAGAAATAAAACACTGTAACAGGCTAGAAGTGAGGAAAGGGGTGCTTCAGAGGTGTTTATCAGTATCCTTACTACTGGCAGCTGCATGGGGAAATAGGATGCTCTACTCCCCTTCCAATAAACAGGCCAATTTGGAGAAAGCCTCCATCAATGATGCCTAGATTAATAAGCTGAGTAACCACAGCAGCAAGAGCTTGCTTACAACTTTTAGGATAGTTCAACAGATGTCACATATATTCATGCTGATGAAACAAGAAAAATAAAGTCCATATGGTATCCTTCCCATACCCTTCCAAATAGAAGCATGGAAAATAAGGATACCTTCTATTCCATTACAAAGATTAGGGATACAGTATTTAGCACTACCATTCTGAATTACAACTTAGAAATTCTTTAAGACTTAAATAAGAAGCTTTCTCCCTTTCCTTTTTTAAAAAAGTTGTAACTTTTCCCAGGGTGGATAAGATTTTTTCCTAAGGTGCCTAGAATCAGCAGAAATTGTGTCTTATCTGAAGGGTCTCTGAAATGGTCCTTAAATTGTACCGTTTAGTTAGCTGCCTTTGCTTTTCAAGAAAGATAGAGCCAAGATTATTAAGTGCATCATCATATCCATTTCAGAATGCTGAAATTCTGCTCCTTCCCCAGTTCCAAGATACATTCCTCACATTTTTTGCTTTCCAATGAAGGAGGAGAAGAGGAAAAAAAGGTTCCTAAATGATCACAGACTGAGCACATCTCATATTACACTTGTGAAGTTCCATGTAAAGCCAAAATATCTGAGAGGAACTGATGAATGGAAGCCTGCACAACGACTTGTGCTTCTGACATGACAAGTACTTTCCACGCAGTACTTGCACAAACAAACAAAAACATAAAAAAGCCTCTGAGCTCCATTTTTTGAGGCAACCACATACCCACAAATAGACACCCATGAACAAGCAGTGAAAGCAATGGAGGAAATTTCTCAACGAGAACTAATATGGGAGTAATCTATGCAGCTGAACACAATACTCACCTGCGAGAGGGTGAGAAGTTATGCTTGTGAGTAGTTGATTTCACCGGGGCTCGTGAGACTTGTCGTCGCCTCGCAGCAGGTGGTGAATACTCCCTGGAAGGAGAGGAATTACTGCCAGAATGATCTGCAGGACTGGGAGAACGCTTCTGTCTATGGGAACCTTCAGAAGGATCTCTGGGAAACATAAAGAGCAGCTTGTTCAACAGGCATAACAAGGCTTTAGTGCATTTCTATGAGAGAACTTTTACTCACAGGATCAAAAACAAACCCTTAAAGAAGGGTTAGTTCCATCTGTAATTCCATATATGAAATTACCTTAAAGCTAGCAGAATTACAGAATGCAAGATGTTCACTAACCAATGAATTCTAAAATTCAGAATTATAAGACAGTAAAATGAAAACAGGCTTGTAATTTTACCTAACATTTCAGTCAGTGGTGAAACAAAACTTCTACCAGTGGAGACTTATCTTGTTGCCTGATACAAAAATTTCTGTAATGTTAGTATTTCATGTAAGAAGACTCAGATACTTTGAAAGACTAATCACATTTTCTAACAAATGAAAGATCTGTCTGAAAGTTCATCTATTTCACTTACTGCACTCCATGAAGATTTCACATTAATTTTTATAGTAAGAAAGGTCAATGAAAATCCAGTACTGAAATCAAAGGCTGCAGTCAACACAGCAATACCTGATTACAGTAAATCCATGAGCCTCTTGACCCTTTCAGTACTACCTTAATTTTCTATGGTTTACAGTAATGAAGCTGGCAAACACGGGCGAAATAATATATATATATATATATATATTTATCAATTAAAAATACACAATTTAGTGGTCTTCCACTCCTAAGTCTTTGCTGTGCTAGTTACCACAGCAAGCATGTACAAATATGTACTACTCTATTTTTATCAAGGCAACATAAGGCTTAAAAATGCAAATGTTATATTTATCAACCATTAAAGTTGACACATTAACAACCATGCTTCAAAAGACTAAGAGAATAGTCCTATCAGTCCACCATTTGAGATACATATATACATATATATATGTATGTGTAAGTGAAGAAATTGCAGAATTCCAACAGACTTCTTCAGAAATGCTTTCTAACAACCCAAGTCTAAGGGTGCCACTAACAATTTAGAAAGATGCTAGTCCTCCAAGATTTCAGAAAAGCAGGCAAGCAGACAAGCAAATGATTTGATAAAGATTTTGGCAAATGAATTATTTCATTAATGAATGTCCAACTTCCTGAATAACAATAAAATTTTCCAAAGAGCATTTGAGAAACTTATTGTTATGTATCTTAAACCTGCCAATATGTTACAGTTTATCTATCAATCCAGGTAGCACATTTAAAATACTTAACCAGGACCAAAATACTTTATAAAAGATAACTTTAAAAGCAAGGTTACATTAAGTTTAAAAGCTAATAACGTAACATAACTTACCTCTGCTTCTCTTTTTTCTCTTTGTGCCTTTCAAAGTCACGCCCTCTCTCTTTCACCTCCCTTGTCTTTTCATCTAAACGTTCTTTGCCTTTATGCTTTTCTTTGTGTTTTTTTCCTAAGGAAGTTTCCTCTTGTACTGGAGGAGGAGGACTTGGGGTACGAGGACCTTTCTTTTTACTCTGATTACTTTTAGAACTCCTAGAGATAAATTAAAAAGGAAATAGAGTGCCAACTACTTCAAATAGTGACTTTCCAGATGTTGTCAGGAAAAGTGAAAATGGAAAGGGCTTTGCAGCTTTTAAGATAGGATTCACCACTCCATTAGCAAGCAGTGCTCAATAACTTGACTGAAGGGTACAAATTCACACTGAGCTCTGCAATTTATAACCTTTTACTTCTGAAACAAGTAAGCAAAAATAGAAACTGCTCCCATTCAGACAGAATTGTTTTCTGCAGTTGCAGTGTCCTCACATGAACTGCACGTATCACAAGATCAGAACTCTACAATATCTGGTCTGCTTAGACTGCCCACTTTTCAGTGCAATACATCACACACATACAGAAAATAACTTAAAGAACTCATATCGTAGATTTAAAGTTAACTACCTGACCCAGCACAAAGCATCTACCTGTTCTGAAATACGTATCTCACAGTTCAAAAACTTTTACATCCTTTTTTCATATAAATGATCCCTGACATAAACGTACAAAGCAGCTGCTGCCACATATTACAAGTCAATAACACTATCTCTGTTCTACTCTCTAAGAGGAAGTAGCATTTCGAAAAGTTCAGAAAGGAAAGAAAATTAAAAATTGTACTGATTATGAGAAGCTCAGTAACAAAAATTAATATAGTTATCTGCTTCCATATTCTCCCAAGATGCATCTACTGACCTTTGCTGATCCAAAAGTGGGGAAGATACAGTAGATGCCTTCTTCTCTTTCTTACTAGACGAAGAGGAAGACTTTGGACTAGACCTTCGTTTTGGAGACTTGCTAGACTTTCTTGGTGATGGCGATGGTGATAATTTAGACCTAACCACCTCTGGAGAAATCTTGAGGAAAAGAGTACATTAAATAATAAAATGCTGACGCTCAAAAGCTTTGCTATATGCTGATATAGATCAAATATGTAAATAACAGTCTAGATGTGAGACCTGAATCATTTACACATCTACTTCAAATAAACTAACCAGAGATTTCAAAAAAGATGACATAAAATACGAGGGAAGAGAAGATGATGCACTGCAATACATTAGAAAAATGTATTAGTAGAAGATTATAATCAGTACAATCCCAGTTAGCAGCCAAGTTTTTCCAATGGACTATCAGATTTAAAAAAAAAAAAAAAAAGCAGAAAAAAAACCTTCCCAAAAGTAAGGGTTCTCAGCAACCTAGTAACAGCTTTGCATCTGTCACTCTACTTTCCTCTTACATGAAAAGGAACTTTGTGTAAGTTATGCCTTGTGTTTTCGTCTACATATTATCTCCGTTAAAGGTGTCAAGTCATTCAATTGCAGTTTCTCACTGACTGGGAAGAAAACTTGGCTATAGTGCTATATGATTGAGCAGATACCTGCAAGCGACATCCAATTAACATGCCAAGTTATACACATGCCACTTATTTACTACTGTGTAACACAGCAGACTATTTGTCCAGAAGCTCAGGTCTTCTGGAAAACAAATCCGTAGTCTTTTTTTTAATTTTGCATTTACAGAATACAAACCTCCTTTTTAATGACGATCTCCTCTCGTTTCTCCATGTTTTCCTGTTCCAACTTCATGAGTTCTCTCTGAATCTTTTGGCGCTTCATTTCCAAAGACAGCTCATGATCATAATCATAGTTAACATCTCCATTATCAGAGTCTTTATTTAAAATAAAAAGGCAAATAGATTAACAAACTGATTACATAGGAAATAAATAATATCACTTAGCATACCAGATACCAAACATAAATATGTCAGTGTCTTTCAAGCATTACCTAAATGCATCAACAAACCAAATCTCTCCTCAAATTATCCGTATGAATGTGAAATAAATGCAGTTATTACCACACACCTTAACCATTCATTTCTATTTCAGTAACAAAAATATCTAAAATGAGTGCTTTCACAAAGATCAAAAGTACGCAGAGCCCTATTTAATTGGGAAATCTGACATGAAGTGGTTTTAAATGGTAATGTTCTATACTACAGCTTTCTGTTTAATAAGGTATCCCACAAAACAATTGATACCCTTGTTTAATTACATCTACACACTCACTTTAATATAAAAGGATGGTCTGCACGACCTCTTTCACATCATTACTACCTGCCTTTCACATTAAAAAAAAAACCTCTCAATTTTCATTAAGTTCTTAGCAGTTCATATCACACCTTTAGTGCCACAAAACTGATATCCTGTTGAAAAAGTAAGCAGTTTTACTCACTCTGATTACTTTCCTCATTTTGTTTATTGTTACTTAAGCCTGATGTTCAAAAAGCAATTTGATAAAATAACCTTCAGAAAAGAAGATATCCCATTAAGCATCCATTAGCTTTCACTCCTCTTCTGACACAGGAACTACATGGAAGTTTTTGCAATAATTATTTTCAGTCTGCTAATTTCCTTCTTGTGTCTTGAATGCATGAGAAGAGCTTATAGAAAGCTGCAATTCTTAACAGCACACACCCCTGCCCAGTCCATCAATTCATTTATATAACACTCAGTGTTAAAACACAGTAATTATACTTTATCCATCAGACACTACACCTATGATTAACATCATTTTTAAAAATTCAAAACTCTCAAGCTGTAAATTTCAACATGTACGAATTAAGATATTCATGCTACATATGTATACATATATAGAAATAGAAGTTTTTATGTTGCACTTTTTTACTTGGATTCTTATTTCCATACCTACATGTCATACAACAGTGCTTCTTAAATCACTCTGAAAATTCCAGTTCAGAAAGGAGTGAAAATATATTATGGCTAGTTTAGTTAGAGAGGGAAGGCTTCACTGAGCACAACATTTCTTTGGACCCCACGTGAGTTATAAAGGTAACAATAGAACAAACCATCATTAAGACCTCTCAGAACTACATTTAAGGAGAGCCTCTATCACCTTATTCTTTTAATCACCTGACAACTTCTATCAATACACATCTTCACATATTCTACTCCAATAGTGTCTCAAAAACAATATTTGCAACACCTAGAGCCCAAACAATAGAAAAGCCACCTACTTAATGAAATTTACACAGGAGCACCATCTCAAAAATAACATAGTGTATTTCACTGCTAATAGATTCATTGTATCTGAATTTGAGTAATTTCCAGGGTGTTTTACTTTTTTCAGAAACACAAATGACCACTTGGACTATTAAATGTTTATTTTCTACAGATACTGAACCTTGATTTTCCACATTACAATACAGTACCAGACAACTGATCATTAATCAAATAACAGTTACATTTATATAGTTAGCTAAAATAATTTTCAAGGTATCAGAAAAGGTAAACCCCATTGTCTGAAGATTTCTAATTTGAGAGATACATGGTTATGTGTAAATTTTAGGCATCTTAATTTAAATGACAATCATGTGTCTCTTCTCTTCTTGAATTATATATTCCTCCTCCCTCCCAAATGTTTAATTGAATGTATTTTGTTTAGAAAGGCTCTGTGACTGTCTGAATTTTGTTTCTAGCATATGGAGCTTCCAGCTAAACATAAACATTAAGCAAAAGTGCTAAGCATCCAGACATTTGTGTATTTTTGAAAGGTTTGGGGTTGACACAACATTTATCTAATACAACTACTGATATCTAGTATCCTTCTCTAAAGAAGAGCTACACATTCTCCAGAAAAAGGACTGTTTCTTTGTTTGCCATCACAACCTTTTGGTAGAAAGAATCCCCAAAGGTGAATCGGAATCCCTCCAGCCCCTCTCCATTGTCTTGCAATGTTGTAACTACCGCTGAAACACCAATGCTTGGAAATCACATAAACAACACACTATTAGCACTGCCATAATTTCAGCATCTAACAGCAGGGAAATGGAAAACAGAGAAGTGAGAAAGCAATACAGATTTTCCCTAGACTGTCTGCATAGTAAATAGATTAATATTATCAACACCAAATACAAGAAAATCACCTTCAACCACAGTCCCTACAATTGTAACACAGAACTCCTAACACTCTCCAAGTATTTACAAAACATGACTAGTTCATAAAATGCTACCTTGAGCTGCTGTTATTTTAATTGAGCCCTTTACAATCAGCTAGTTGACAAACATCATGCAAAAACAAAACATCCCTGCTGACTTCAAAGGAGTCCTGCTTTCTTCTCACTGACCAGTTTCAAGATCATCTTGGATTCTCCCATTAATCTAAAGGCTCTGCCACAGAATAGACAGTAGCAAAGTTCCTTGCTGTCTGAGGAGTCAAAACAGCATGTTTTTTAAAATAAGTTGGTTTTACTATTACAGCACTCCAACTCTGACTGCTCCTTTGCTCTCCTCCAGCAATGAATCTTAGTGGCTACTGCACAGAAGTACCCTGCTTAGAGACTGACCCTTCATAACCATTTCTGCCTTACATACAGCCCTGCAGATCTTGCAATTCTTTGAACGGCAGTGAGACAATTAGTTTAATTTCCCTTACCTTCTCTATTTGCTTCCCAATCTCCATTTTCCTCTTCGCTTTCTGGTGTTCTCTCCTTTGTAATTTTGATATCTTCCTTTTCTCTGTGTCTTCCTCGTGAAGACTCTTTCTATAAGGGAAAAACACTGCATTAGAGTAAACAATTTTATTTTTAAAAGAAGCCTGAAGAAGCAGGTACATTTTACACGGTATTTAGGCTGTTCCTTTTTTTATAGCACAAAAAGCATTTTCCCCTTTAGCCTGTTGACCATATACCTTTTCAAATAAGCAGAGAATCCACAGGCAAAATATTCTAATGCAATTTCGTATAATCAGTATGCAAATAGCAGATCGGGAAAAGAGAGAAAAAGGGATTTGTCAAATAAGGTTTACAGGCAGGGCAAGAATCAAGCATGTGCCAGAAAATCAAGTTTAAAATAGGAATCAAAAGAACAGATCAGGCTCTTAAAACCATAAGTTTAACAACATTAAGAGTTCTCAGCTGTAAATAAGAATGTCATATGAAAGGAAGATGACCTTTGGAGAAGCTGAACCACTTAGCTTGGGAGGATTAACAACGTGGGGAGGGAAAAGAGAGAGACTGGCAGAAGGAAGGGGAAAAAAAAAAACAAAAAACAAAAGCAACACACTGGAATGAGGTTTTCTTGAAAGCTTTATCTTTGCTCATTGGTCCAGTGTTACAGGACAAGCCTATTGCAGTAGCACTCACTTCACATCTGGCTAAACAGCACGTGGTATATAGGACCATGATGGTCCTATGGATACCTAAGGCTGTCAGAGACTATTCTTGAAGGAAACAGTTTCAAAAGACAACTGGACCTGTGCTGCTTTCCTCACCCCCCTGCATTCCAGTAGTAAAGCATCATTGCCTCTACCGTATCCACATTGTAAATAATCTATCTGGACTCAAGCCAAGTACAAGACAAATTCTTTTAACTGTATGCAACAAAATAATAATAATAATAATAATAAAAAGAATATCCAAGCATAGAAGGCTAATTTATTATACAGGAAACCAGAAAGAGCAATTAATGAAAGCCTGCCCCACTCCCCTTTTCTTCTCACCTCCCACAGTGTTTTCTTTTGTCTTTTGGGGATTCTTCAGCGCTGGTACGTTGGATCCCTTATGTGAAGGAAAAGGAGATGCCTGAGAATTTCACTAGCTATTCCCTATTGGGACTTAAGCCATTACTTCATTTAAACCCTTAACAGCACCTTAGAGACACAGTGAGGAAATAATACAGTATCACGGAGAGTCACTCCTCAGTCAATACAATTAAACTATTCCTTTATTTCTTTAACAATGTCAAACTCTAGCCTAATTACATAAACAATGACAGACTAAGTACTGTGTTTATTTTCCCTAGTAAACTGAAATGCACAGTTATCCTCAAACCTTTCTTCTTGATGCATTATGTCATATTCAAAGCCTTAAAGGTTTTGAAAAACTGAGCATTTACTAAATAATACAGAGGAACTTCTCATTAAAGAACTACCTTGTGTCAAGTGTAATTTAAAGCAGCTTCTACAGTGAGGACAAGAGAGATTTTCATCACTTTACGACAGGTTCTCTAAAAGGATGCACACAGTCCTAACCTACCAGGTCACACTGATTTCCAACATCAGCACAACATGGGCCAACAGCATTCCAGTCTAAGTGCAAAAACCATACTAAGCTCCAAAGCAACTTACTTGAAAAAACAACAACAAAAAAATGACTCATAAGATTTGAAGTTTGCAGCTTTATCAACAAGTCTCTCCTTCAGCAATTCTTTTTTTGCTTAAAGCACTTTCGTTCTTCTAGCTCTGCTTGAAGGCTGAATGTGTTCTACTAAAATGCTTATTTTTGCTATATAATCCAACTAATTCTTATAATTACAATAATAGACATTAATTCTTAAAAACACCAGGTTCTATTAATTCAACACTATTCGGTACCATCAAACCAGCATGTCAGGATACCCCTCATAGATACTAACTTTAAAAAACATCTCAAGGCCAACTCACAAAGCAACATGCCACCAAAGAACCTGCAGTTTCATCAGAATGTTTCAAGAACAACTTAAAAGTCCAAGTTAGCAACCATACAGAACCGGTACGTATCTCACCTACATCTCCAAACTTTAAAACCCAACCCAACATTCTGAAACAGCTTTTATTTTCTCCTTTCAGTGGACAGATTCAGTAGCGGCAACAGTGGGAAAATCATACTTCTAAAAAAGAACCAAGAACAAAATCATCTATGTAAGGAATTTTATTAACTACTGAATGTAGGGGAAGGGAACAGACAAGTTTTATGTAAGCATGCTATTTCACAAGTCAGCACAACTGCATCTGAGCCCGTCCATATGCTCAACAACTTGAGTTTAAGTGTCAGAAGAAAATACTCTGGTAGCACTGCATCTTGAAAAAAAAAAAATCTGAGCTTAAAAACTGAGTATATTTTCCCAGGGCACACAGTTGAAGCATTTAAGTTATGATGGTTTAAAACACATTCACATTTTCTCATGGAATAGTCTTCAATATATTCCTTTTACGGTAGTCGTTTTACTTACAATGAATTTCATTCCCTCACACTATGGTTGATACTAGTTAATAAGCAAATAATTCATTCATATCCTTATAGGCATTCCTGTACTTTACATCACTTTTTCTCTTTCCCTTACAAAGCAAGAATAAAGTAAATTGTCCTCCTAAAGGACAAAAGCACGTCTTTCATTTGAAGTTGAAGATACTACATCCACTTCTGACACATCTGCAAACTACTTTTCTGCAGACTGAAAAAAACCTCCATTTACTGGAAGAGAAACATTAAACCTTTAGAGTATTTAATAAAAAAGATAAAAAAACGGGCTTAAGTTGAATCAGGGGAGGTTAAGGTTGGATATGTGGAAAAATTTCTTCTCCAAGAGTGGTGAGTCAGTGGCACAGGCTGCCCAGGGAGGCGGTGGAGTCACCATCCTTGGATGTGTTGAAGAAATGTTGTACTGAGAGACAAGGTTTAATGGGAAATACTGGTGGTAGGTGGATGATTGGACTGGATGATCTTGGAGTTCTTTTCCAAACTTGGTGATTCTACGATTCTCTAAGCGTAGACAATAATTTAGAAGACCTTGACTATGCTGTTTTCAGGTATATGCTCAAAGTTAAACTATTCATGTGTTAAACAGGTGATTACATTTAACGTTGAACTTCAGAATAAATGCTACTCAAGAAAAAACAAAAAAACACATTACAACTGAATGCTATGAGATTTTATTAAATTTAACATCTACTGAAGTTGAAGTTCCACACTTCCTAAGACATAATTGGCACTCGCCAGCACAAGACTTGAGGTCTACTTCAAGTTCCCACTACAGCCAAAGGACTATGGCCAAGCACTAAAGGACTCATTCAGTCCGCAAAACATGCCTCTAGTCATTAAGTGGTATTTTGCCAATGCTGACAGGGAGAACATTTAAAAGGTTCTTACCATCTACAGTTCTAACAAGGCAGAAGCTTCAGTTTCAGCCTTGCCACTACACATACGTACAGCAGCATTATAAACTAGCTCAGAAGCGCCTATTGCTTTAATTCTAGAACAAGCTATCATGTATATACCTATATAATCTTTTGGTTAAGTACAATACTATTTTACTCTACGCATAATATATCTTCATATTGAAAACTACTACTATACAACACAAACACACACGAAAATGAAGCTTCCCTGAAATGAACAGATAGATTCCATTTCGGAGATGGAGGACAATGCTGACTTCCATTTCCAGTGTAAGTATTCAAAAGCCAGTGACAAAAAGCACAGATATGAAACACGCGATACACATTCTGTACAAAAACCTTTCCTAAATGAAAATTAAGTTCTTCCCACTGTTCCCCAAATGACACAGATCTCCCAGAAGTTGCTTTACGTAACACTTCAAATACTCCAGTGAAACTACCTTCTTGCAATTTAGAGAAAAACTCAACATTCAATATCAGAATTTCCAACTAAATACGGTAATAGTGAGAATCTTCCCTAATTCTTTGTACCATATTTGACACACTGACATGCAGAACTGAAATAATTCTCAATACAAACTTAAGAATCAAGAAAACTCTTGAGATCACTGTAGTTATCCAAGTAATATAGTATATTGTCTCTGAAAGTAATAGTACAAGACATGAAGAAATAATAAAGGATATATTTTATAAGCTGCCCATATAGGAATTTTCTTTCTAAGTGCATACAGATTTTACTGGTTATCTTATGTCTCGAAACAACATGAAAACTCTTTTCTTGGGGAAGATTTTATATTAGTTACACTGTCTCAACTTTCTGTGGAACCTATTCAGGTTTTTGACTGTATCTCCTGGAAACCAGGTAGAACTATTATATATAATGTAAATAGCATTTCCCCTTCAAATTTGCCATTGTTTCTACTAGGACAAAGTATGAGCAAGACGCACCTAGTTTACATTCTCTCAATCATACATTATATGCATTCACAACGTCTCCTTTCTTCTATTCTCCAGTCTCCTTCTCACTCCTTGCCCACTTCCAAAAGACCTTTGACTGTATTGTCTCGCATACAGGTGATCATAATGAAACAGCATTTCAAATAAAACTGGACCATTAATTCCTACAGCACAATATTAATCATTTTCTATTCCATTTTTATATACCTGAGTTCTTGTATCTGCAACTGTGACTGCACTTTGAATAGATGATTTCATTGAGCTGTCCACAATAACTTATTTCCCTACTGGATGATTTCAGTGATTTTCAAAAGATTTATTCACCACTTCTTTGTATTAAATACTTCCCTTGCTGTGCACTGCATGGCACTCGCCAATACCACGTTTCATCCGCCATTGTACTGCCAAAAATCTTTTCCCCTGTCCCTATGGCGTTCCTCAGACTTTATTAATTTCAGTTAATGATTTCAGCGTTTCCATATCTTCTGCAAAGTTTGACATTTGGGATGCCCAACATTTTTTTCCACATTCTTAAAGTACTTGCTCTTTAGGTGAAACATCATTGCACCCTCTGTAACTCCATCATTTGAAACTGATTTGAATTTTTCCCTTTAGCTGGCTTTTATATTTGGCAATATTGGATTTGTTATTCTTCGATCTAGTCTTCAAAAGCTTTGTTTCAAAAGAAGCTATTTAAGATTTCACTTATACCAGTTCTCTTTTAGCCACTATTCTCTGTTCAAGTCTCAATGCTAGTAGATCAGTGAAACACAAATTTTGACTGCAGGCACAATGCTCTTTCTTCTTTATTTAAAAAGAAAAATAAACCACATAATTATGAAACTTTTTATGGAGCAAGCTACCTTCCATTATTTCCAAGTAAAATTAAGAAGCTTTAGTAAGAGATGAAAATGTCAATAGCTAGATCTCCACCATAACAACGATTCTAATGATGGAGCAAGAATTTTGTAAGCAGTTCAGTCACTCCAGTCTTCTGTTCTTTTGGACATCCTGGTTCTCTGGAATGCAACTCTTGATGACTATCTCTCTGCATTTATTTTCTCCTGAATATTTTCTTTGGATCTCTCTTATTTTCCACCGTTGCCTCTGTGCCATTAATATAAAAATTCAGTGGTTTCCTCAGCCTTGTGTTTTATAAGATTGAAGCATATTTCTCTGCAGTGTGCTTAACACCTGTGAACAACTCCTCGGTATTTAACAGAGCCACTAATTCTCAAACTCCTTTTGATTCCAGTTCATGTTTATTTGGGGTTTAGTTCATTAAGAGTATTTTATTATTGCATGAATAGAATACTATAAAAAAACAGTTAACTAATCAAAAGCAAGAATTACATCAAAATTAAGAGTTGTACCAAGAGAGAAGTTACAGTAAATTTTTAATAATGGTTGGAAAAAAAAAAACACTTTTCCCACCAACCATGTGCTTAATAACTAAACAGTTTATTCAAACTACCAGAAAATAAAAGAAACACATTTAAGTAAAAGAATAAAAAGACTGAAAGTTTACACAAATTAACAGCAACTGAAAACATGATTGGAAGATAAGCCATTCAGTTAATTTAATTATAGCAGCTGCTGTTGATTTATTTACACCTCACAGAAAAATTCATTGTACACAGCAATAGGAACAGATCCAGAGGGAAAAAAAAAAAAAAAAAAAAAGGTGTTAATACCTGCAGAAGCAAAACTGATTTTTCATAAAGAAAATTTTTTAACCAATATCTATATGAAATTAGTCTTAAAAAACATAATGCAAGAATACACTGATGCTATTGTTACAGAGGCTGCAGGATAATGCTACCAGTTCTGCCTCTATTTGAAACATCAGTGCAGAAATAGGTAACATGATTTTGAAGTAAATTCTGATATTGTTGGGGGTTGTTTGCAGAAAGATGCATAGAAAATGAGAGTGATGATGAATTGACTTGCTACAAAACCCAGAAGTGAGCAGTTGGGATGGCTGATGAATACATGAGGAGGAAGATGAAATGAACCAGCACAACAGTAACTGCATTGTCTCATCAAAAGCAAATTTGAGATGAACAACTGGAGTAGGGATGCATGTAAACGATGGATATCAATAAATGTCAGGGGGAAAAACAATGGATGATTCAAACAGCACTTTATATGTTTTCTTGGAAATATTAAAGAATCTGCACTGTTATTAAATACCGGTTTATCAGTATTTATAGCATAATATAGTCTGTGGGATTTATAAAATCGTTGGGAACCAAATGATCAAAAAATGCTAAAAAAAAACCCTGCAAAGTAATACAACTGTTAAGACACTTCACATTGAAATATGCCGCGTGCTATTGTACAAAATGAGCTATTCGTTAAACATTTCAAACATTACAAGTCACCGCAAACAGGTTTCTAGGACGCAGCACCCAATTGCTACTGAGGGATTCTGGAGCTCTGCAAACTCCATTCTTACCCTAACAGGAGAGGACGATTCCTCTGTACTTCGTTTCTGTGGCTCAGCCTCAACATCTTGGCGTTTGTTCTTCATTCTTTCCCGGAGATCTCCAGTAGGCCTTTCTGGTGACCTGTATAATACAGAAACTTAATATAACCAGTTCTGTGGGATTATTTTAAAAGGAATTCAATCTTAACTCTACTTGTTATTAGTATATAGAGAGAGATCTAAATCTCTCAATAGAAGCGATGAGGATGACAACGAATTATTCAGTTCTAATGGGCTTAAGCATTAAAAAAAAAACAACCCTCTTTCAGAACACCAAGACAGATTTAATTGTACGTACATATGGCACTATGTCATGGCTCAGTGGCCACTCTACATCAGCTACAGGTGATGCTAGCACCAACAAACCTATTTTTTCTGATCGTCATACAAATGTGTTTCACCATAATTCAGATTGTGTCTTTTCAAATATCTTTAGCCTCCTCTATATTCTAAGCTATGTTGATCTGTATAAATACATAAATGTAATTATTGCAGAAGCAAATTTACTGAACAACAGCAGCTAGCTACACGGAAGCAAAACTCCAAACACAGATGCAAGTCCATAAGCACTGATCATCTGACTTATTTGTCATCCACTCATGACCTTGGTCAGAGTGCTAACAAAGAATAGCTATCACAAGGCCACGAAGCAGAGGAATATTCTTGGAGGCCTCCTCTGTTTTCCATCTTGCATTAATATCATTCTTTTATTATTCAGTTTTAAGATATTGGATGAACTCTACCAGTCATACAACTGTGTTTTCTGTTAAAGGCATTACTGTGGTGAGAGAAGGGAGAGTGGATACACCGTACTTCTCAAGCTATCTTTGCTATTCTATCACTTTCTACTGTAGATTTAAAAGTTGAAAGTTGATTTATCCCCCATTGGTTAAAAGAGAACAACTCTTGTGCTTAACAAGCTCTGAGGCAAAGGGGACATAGCAGCTCCTTCAAATGATCTTTCAGTGGAAGAAAATTTCTTATACAAATCTAGCTTGATATCGAGTTTGGCACTTCTGTGATGGCTATTAGCTTTAATTACATATACTTCTGTGAAATGGTTGTATGAAAGTATTGGATGTGTAACTAAGCATTTACATTAAAGTAATAAAGAACTACAAATGCTATTTTAGCTGATTAGAAGCTATATCTAATATTTGTATTTTAAAAAATCGTATTTGCTTCTTTTTCCAGTCTGAATTAGTTTCCCTTTAAAAATAGTTGTTTCTCCCACATCTTTGTCATGCAATAGATAATTCGTAAAGTTTCTCCTTCAGCATATGCACGTAAAAATATTTAAACTAGTAAGATTTCATTTTCAACCTGTGCTCATTTGATACACAGTAATTTGCTTCCACTTCCTCCTTGGCAATGTTATCTGTATGTAATTCTTTAAATAGCATTACAAGGTTAAATGTCCTGAGATGTAAGAAGAAAAAAAAACAGTGACTGTTCTCGTCACTAAATGCATTTAATTCATCATGCAGTTGTAAATAAGATCACTCAGTGTCAGAGGAAAGAAACAGAACTAGCGTGCTGCTTCTTTCAGCACTAACAAGGACCAAAAAAATACTCAGCATACAAATACAAACAAGTTAATTTCCCTGACTGCAAAACTATATCATCTCTAAAGTACCTGATTTCTATGAAAGTCATAATTCAAGGTACTTTTTTTCCCTCCCATTTTAGGAACAGAATTCCTTTGTACTACCAAAATTCTCTGAAAGCATTCCAAACCATCTTCCAACATTAAAGTGGCAATTCAAAGCTTAAACTTTTTAATGGTACTTCAGGTATGGAACAAAGGATCCACATTTACAAAAACTAAACATTAATTTAAAACACAAAAGAGATTATAGATAGTATACTAGTAACATTGTTTCTCAAGAATAGTAATTCTCAGGAAAACCTGATGGCTGAAGGAGAAAGCAGAACTTGCATTGAATGTAGTTCACATACTCTCTAGATACATATAATACTTCATTTTATATGTAATTCTGGTTTGTTTTTACTTTTTTATTTGGAGTGGAAAAAAGATGAAGTTATTTCAACCTGAATAGCTTTTCCCATGTGGAAAGGGGAGGGAGGAAGAAAGAACTCAGCTTATTAAGAGTATTCAGATTTGCTTTAAGATTACAAAAGTCATCAGGAAATCACAGGAAAGAAAAATGCTACAGCATGAGGATTCTGTTGTTATGCTCTTCTGCTTCTTGTTTTTTGTCTACTTGGTTGGTTAGCATCTTTCTTTTTATTATTATATTTTACTTTTTTGGCTTTAGGAGAACACTGGACTGAAGGTAATCAACCAGTTGTTCTGCACACTTCCTTCCACCAAACATCATAACATAAAACACAAGAGAGACAGAAGTTTTAAGAAATTTTCAGTCTCATTTTATTAAAGAAGTAGTTACTCAGGAAGCTGTGACTGTTTTCAGATATTCTGGTTTAATACACAGAAAAACAAAGTTGGCAACTGGCTAACTTTGCCACGAGGTGCACCACAAGATTAATTTTAAGAAAGGGCCTCCTTCCTGCACGTTGTTTTTCTCCTTTCCAAAAGAAGGCTTTCCGTTATTCCAATACACTCTGCTGAGTTTCAACAGGAAAATACCATTTTATTCCACAGTTCAACAACACAAGTCTACAGCGCAACTGGTAGAGCCCTTCACATAAAAGGCTCCACAGTATTTCCACTGTACACTGAAAGAAAATGATTAAGTGGGAAAAAATTATCTCTAATGAAATAGCACTCTGTGTGGGGCCCATATTTCAAATGCTGAATTTCATCATTCCAAACGTTAAGCTGGGAAATGATTTGAACAGCATTACTTTCTGCAACAAATCAGTTTTCTAGACAGAGCAGCTTGGTTAGGAAACATAAGTTTTGCATATTCCTGTTTGCTTCTACCTTCCAGTGCCAGAAACAGCCCCCTGGAACAGGCACACATTACAGTACCACTAGAAGAGAAAATAGTGGGTGTATGTATGTGCATGGGTGTGTATAGGCAGATCAGTACATAACACACATAACTGAATGCTCATTAGACATCCTGCTTTCAATCTCCTGTACCACAGTGTTTGTACTTTTCAAAATCCATACTTTTTTTTTTTTTTTTAAACCTACTACTATTGGAGTTTCAGTTTGTTTTTTAAATCTAGAGTAAGGATTCAGACTGCAGAAGTTCAGGCAGGCAACAGAAAAGCAGTACAAAATGACTGATCCTAACAATGCTGTAAGACAAACAGGAAAGCTGCCAAGCAACTAACAAAAAGCCAGTTAGAAGAGAAAGAGGGTAAAATTCCTCATGGGAAGGCTTATTTACATGCATGTCTTTCCTTATTGGCTTCTCCTTACTTCAGATGCCTGGAAGACAGGCAGCTCTATTACTGTATTCTTAAGCTTATTATGAAAACTTTATATACAAAAATATACTGGCTGTTTCTAACAGAAAGATGAAAACTCATGCTGCAAGCAGCAGCATTAATGCTGAAAGTGTATGCATGCTCCCTTTAAGAGGCTTTTTTTTAATACTTCAGAGACAAGCCTTCCTACTGGCTGACAATGCTCTGAACTACAGGAGGCATGGAAGCATTATGGTCACATAAAACCATTAACAGTGAGACTTCCTTCAGGCAGGTATGAAATAGGAGGAGCGAGACAGAAAGGCAGTACAATGTGCTGCTCCCAGCCAAGCTGTCTGCTAACCAGACAAAAGACTTCACCAACAGGGAAGGCTGAATGCTTGCAGTCACACCACCAATATGCCCCAGGTACCTGATCACAGATACTGCTTAAACTGAACTGACGTGGAATCAGCATTAGCTTGACTTGCACAAAGGCAATAGATAGCATTTAAAATATCTGTACAGCATTTGTAAAAAAAATCTGCAATGTTAAATAGCGTAAAAATAACATTTTTATTATGCAAGTGAAACAGCTTTTTCTGTGCCTAGCCAAGAGCTATCAAGAGAAACTTCAGAAGAGTGCTTTTCTCATTTGTTTGTTCTGGTGGGAGGGTTGGCCTCCCTCTTTTTGTAGTTGCAGTAGTGTTTCTTTTTTCAAAACATACTAAATGTTGAATGCCAAAGGTATCAAGCAAATGAAAAGCCAGATCTACCCTTTGATCTTTTTAATATTCTAATAGGAAGAAAAATTTAGTAATAAATCAGCATTATTCTTAAGTGTTAGTGGTGACAGTGAAGCAGAAACAAAGCTTTAGTTATTAAAAGAAACATGACTGCTCTTCAAATGACCAAGCAGAATCACACACTGCATGTTCCAAATACTTGAAAGCAAAGAGAAAGTGAGGCACCACATTCAAGTTTTTAAACTTCTCTCTATCAGTAAGTCACACATTTTTCCCCACATTTGGAACGTTCTGTGCAGAACAGAATAAGATCTTTCATACACTGAAAGAAACATTGAACTTACTGACATATTTTGTATCCCAGCTGCTACCACCTTAGAAGCAAAGGGAGATCAAATAAGCAAAGTCAAGGCCATCCTGAGAGTGTGGCACAGGAACAGAAAACAGAACCAGAACCTCCTGCCAGCCTTCCTGTTTGACCTTCACCGTGTTGCTTTACATCTTGATGCTTCAGTGCTCCTATCCATAATCTACAGGTGACACTGACATTACTGCAGCATCAGGAAACAGTCATTTGTAAAATGTGAAGCTTTCATACAAAGGGGTGTTATGAGAAAACTATGCTATCTTTTTGGTCCTTTGTAATGACAACAGTAAAACTTATTATTAACATTTAATTTGTTAAACAAGCATACAGTGTTGCACCACACAAAGGACAGTGGGGAAAAAAGTACTTTAAAATGATAACAACATACAAAGAGACAAAAAATTATATATATACACATGTGTGTGTGGTAATTTTTTGAATTTCCTCTCGATCTATTTGCCCAATATCTGATAAAGTCACAAAATTCTGTTTTGAAGAGTTGCTGCTGTAGAGAAAGGACAGAGATACCTTACTTGTGAGACAAAGTAGTGAAGGCAGAAGGATTACAAGTATGAGATTGCTGCTGTAAGTAGTTACAACACGATGTGTTAGTAAAGGACAGAAAGGCATTCAGAAGCTGCAGTGATGCTACAGTCAAAAAAAATAATGCAGTAAGGTACTTGATTTTCCTACTTCAAGTAATCCAAGAAGTTAATCTGTATTCAGTGGACTCCATTTTATAAAGCTGCATGCACACAAAAATCTTGGGTAAACCCACTGCACATTGCCAAATCAATTGCTTTGAGCAGCTTCACGATACAACTGGTTACTGATATAACATACCATTAGGCACACCACAGCATTTCATTATTTAAAGACAAAAACAAAAGACATAGTCGTAAAAGCTATTTTCCTACAGCATGTGAAGAATTCAAAGTGAGTTCTTGATTTACCTTCTATAACTGCTGCTATAGCCTTTACCTCGTGGTGAAGGGCCATGTACGAATCTACATGTGTTCCCATAGAGGCAGTTGCCAGTCTTCAGCCAGTTACGGCACTGTGTCTAAGAGACAGACATCACTGGGTGAATTTCACACTCATTTCTGGAAATACCATTGGTGTGAGTGTGGCAGAACAAACAAATGACTCCACATTAACTCCCACTTATCTGTAATTTCTGTCTATCAGTAATATAACTCTAAAAAAAAATAATAATAATCAACAACGAGCATCAGGTTTGGCAGAGCAAAATTTAAGTTGGTGGAAATAGTATTAAAGAGTACAGTACTATTGCTCTTCTCCAGAAGATGGGACAACACAGGTAATGTGAAAGTTCTAGTACTAGAATTTTGGACACCCATGCGTTAAGGAATTCTTTTCACCTTTACTAACATCTGTGACAGCTGAGTATTTGGCACTTGTGAGCTACTCTTTCCCACCATCTAAATCCTGGAAAAGAAGATGCCGGGGTGGGGAAGAAAAGAAGAATGTTTTCACAACTCACCTCTGCAGTACTTCCAGTGCTGGGTCCAAGCCTTTCAAACACACTGGGTCTTCTGGATGTGCTATCGGATATGGTCTTGGTATTTTCCACTGTGACCTTCCTTCTAATTTTTGACATTTTGTACTACTTCAACCAAAAAAGAAAGCAAAACTGTAAAATCCTTCAGTCTGGGCCTATTGACACTGAACTCACATAAACAAAATAGCATGATACACGTTGCAAGAGTTGCTGCAGAGGTGATGAAGAAATTAAAAAAAAAAAAGTCATAAATGAGTGAAATGTCTTTAATTACAAGGAATGCTTCTGTTTCAAACTAGTCAATAGAACAGCGGTAATGACAAATTTTTACTTTATTTATGAACTGCTTTGGATTCTTCAGCTTCCCTCCAGGAAAGATCATACAGCGTTATTCATTTCGGTAGCAAACAATACACTGCACAGATTCTTGTCATGTACCTTTGTGCAACAGCTCAAGTGACTTCAAGTGAAAAAATCTTTTGACGTTACTTCGCCAGTCTCCCAGAAACAGGTTCTGCCCACTAAAAACTCCCATTTTCAGAAATGCATCTAAAAATGAGAGTTCCATTTCTTCTTTTCCTCTTGTTTTTTTCATTGTTACATATGAGAACCTACTGGAAACCATCCTGAGAGCATCCACACTCTGCATTTATTACTGGTTTGTACTGTACAACTATTTGGGACTGGCTGAGTATTGGAAAAAAAAAACAAACGATGCTGCGATACAATTCTTAAGTTTATAAAGTAGTAACTACTTTTCATTAAAAACAGATTTTGAAGAAAACAGAATGCAAGTTTGACAAATAATAACTCACAACTTATCTTACCTGATAAAGAAAGGAGTTACTGAATACAGAAAACAAAACAGTATAAAAATAAAGCATGATATTGGGCACTTGAGATGGACTGTACAAAAAGGGCAAAATGGGCTCTAACAACTACTGTCCATTTTTTAAGGGCTACCAATCTGCACCAAAAAAAAAAAAACAAACACCCAACAACACATAAAAAACAACCAATTTGAGAAAGCCTGCCAGCTGCAGAACAATTTAAATACCACTCAAAAACCCAACTACTTTACAGCAACTTCCATTCTGGAGCTCAGTAGTCAGTACAGAATGATTAGCCAAGCACTAATCTCCTACCTTTCTGCTCTTATCCTTGGGTTATTCTGTTCAACGCGCGCACAAGTAGCTAATTTCTAACACCCAAACACGAGCCACAAGTGACAGAAAGCTCATTCACACAACCAGAAGAACAGATACCTAATCTAGCCCCCAGCAGGTTGGATTAGTACAAAACATCACCAGTCCGATCAGCATATGCTCCCATAGCATTCAGACTGTAAGCTTCCATTCTACAGCAGAAGGAATTGATGATAACATATGTTTGTATACAAAATATAACACCACTGCAGCCTAAATTTTACAACTGGCACTTTGATAATACCTGTTCTTATTTTCCTTGTACCATGGTGGAAATACATGATCTGAATCCCACTGTAATTCAGTGATGAGACCTCACTTATCGGTCTGACATCGGTGCACTTTCTATGAAGGAAATAGCTTTTAGTGACTGCTTCAGCTCCCTTATACACAACAGAAGGAAGCTAATGCTGTGTACTTGCACTTGAGCCACTCCCCAGCTCAGCTCTACTGACTCCTCCTCCAAGCCATTGGTGATCTGAAGGCCATCTCCCAAGCAAGGTTCAGATAACCAAGCACTCAGAGAGCAAAAGATAACCATGTGGTGTATATACCAGACATTAAAAACAGTGGCTAATATTAATTAGTGCTCTAGAGGATGGAAGCAGACAGTGAAACTGGAGAATTCGCCAGTAGTAGGAAATTATTTGGGTTAGTAAAAATTGTAGAGGAGAAAGATTTCCAGAAAGATCTAATAGAGTTAGAAAATCGAGTAATACAACAACAGATGAAATGCAATTAAATACAATGTAATGCACACAAGAAGAAATGATTTTATCTAAATACTTGATGAGTTCAAATTAGTCCAGTCTTCTGAGAAAAAATAATTAGGAGTCATTGTGGACAGCTCAATGTGCAGCAGTAGTTACAAAGTCTGACAGGATAAATCATTGAAGTTAGAAAGCAAACATCACCCCTAGGCTAGCTGAGCACCATCCTGTTTCAGGACTGTTCCATTCTGTATTTTAGCAAAGAAAAAACAACAAAAACAAACAAACAAAAAAAACCCCACTGAATTTGTAAAGTTCCATGCAGCTATTCTTGAATACAGGATACAAAAATATACTGATGTATGCAAAAGCATTTTTTATTAAGACAATCAGATTCCAAATATTGAGCTCTGTTTAAATGGTCACAGTAAAAAGAGCCATATCTGAAACAAAAAGGGTTAGAAGAACGGCACCAGCAGTGGCAGGGGGTTCAACACATGAAGGACAGATAAAATGAGTGCACCTAATACGTAAGTACAGCACAGCAACATGAGAGCAGGATACAAATACAACATAATTGCAATCATTTTGCCTCCTAACGTGAATATCCTTTTATTCCCAAATAAATCAGAGGCAAAATACACTTTTTTTTTTTTAAAAAAAAAAAGCAAAGAAAACCCAAAATTAACAAACATCACCATGTTACCCTTTTCCCAGCAATTAATGCCTTCTTGGAATTCAACTCTATAGAAAATGATGAGGTCTAGGTCTAAAAGAATAGAAGGAAGGAGGGGAGAATATCACTGTAACCAAATGGATAATTTCATTTCAACTACACACTTCACCAAACTTAGGCCGATACCTATGAGGGAATTAAGAAAACATCATCCAACCCTGAATCTTTTAAGGTTTGAGAAAAGAAAAATACAACAACCAACTGATTTTCAATCAAATAAACACTCGAAACTTGAAAATAAAATACAAGTAGCATCCTGTCAATTCTACCCTTACGCTCTGCTCCACACCCATTGGTTTCCTATTAGAACTATATGATTTCCAAACAGAAGGGCTACTTCATAAGAAATAATTTTAAGCAAATGAAAACAGCATGCTGGGACTGCACAGCACATTGCTTTCTGTATACACAGATAACCTATCACACATTATCTACCACATTCCTGCAGCCAGAACTGCACGGTGAGAATTCCCTTGTCAGAGAACAGAGCGGTGAGACAGGAGGGCAGGGTTAGAGTCCAGGCATGTAATTCAGAGACAAACTGAACAATATCCACACACTGAAAGATGCACATCACGTGTGGGAGGATGTATCTCAGTATACAATCACTCCTGTTCTCAATCCCCCCAAGACCAAGCAAGGCAGAAAAGCAAAAAAATCACTAAAACAATGCTGTACTTGACATTCTAGATGCAAAATGGCAGCTTTACTGACAAGCACAGAAGCATTCCCCTTGGTCACAGACAAGTATTATGAGGGGAAAGGAACAGAAAGCTTAAGTAAAATGTTTCCAGATTCTTCTAACGGCAAATTAATGGATAACTGAGATTAAACACCCAATAATAATTCCCACAGCTTGCTCACTCCTTCACATCCATCTCATGCTGCTTTACCATCACAGCCCTGCTGCCCACCCCGCACTGCTGACCCATCATTTCCCTGACCCATCCAACTCTGCAGCCTGAACTGCCCAGGGGTTCACACAACACTGAGCATCGGTGTGGGCCAAGCCTTAAGCATCCAGATTTCCTGTACTATTCCCTGTATTATTTCAAATAATTATGACAACAATTTAAGTTTCTAAACAGAAATATATCTAACTCTCTATTGCATGGTTAAACCTTCTTAGGGTTTGTGAAGCATCTGCAAATTCTGCAATAGTGTCTTACTATTAACAAATATATTAACTTCCATAACAAAAACACTAAGATACTTATTTAGGAGGATAAAGTTGATCTCTTTAATTCTATACCTAAGGTTTTAACTGTAACAACCACAAATCATTACCTGTCCATATGGGAACAGTATTTGCTGGACTGTTTCATTGTACATTCAGTATAACAACTTGTTCCACCACTGTAACAACTTGTTCACTTATAGATACACCAATGTTATTCTCGAAAGGAGTAACTCCTCCAGAATGTCAGTAACAGATTGTTTCTCACTATCTGAAATGTAATTTGGAGTGAAATATACATTTATAAAGTAACATCCTACACCTAAATGTAGCTGGATTTGAGTATATCTATAGGGCAATAAGTAAGTAACTGAAATCACTGAAGTGTTATACGATTGACACAATATTCCGCAACATTCTGCTTACTATCAGCACTCCTACCTTTGGAAGTCTTAATACTTTCACTTAATACTTCTCTTCAATAGAAGTATGATGTTACACAAAGTCATAACAAGTGAAAAACATCTGAAATGTGCTTTTTTCCTGTTAGAAAACCCTAATCCAGTCCTCTGCAAACATCAATCCTGGTTCTACAAGTAAAGTAGTAACTGAGAAATAACACAGCACAAACAAAGTTCACAACAACTCTAAGGAGATGAAGTCTCCTTTAAAGTCCAAGCCATTGGTATCAAGTATGGCAACATCCACGCATGCATACGTGCACACCACGCACAGCCTAAATATCATCAACACCCTACCTGTGAAGCAGTAAATAACACCTATTCAAAGTAACAATCAAATTTTAGAAATTAAAATCTAATATAACTTAAGACACAAACTGATTGCAATACTCCAGGATAAATTAAATCATTGACAACCAAGACTTAATAGAAGCTTAAAAAGAGGAAGGTGCCAGGGCTCCTCTCCATTTTTCCAAATGAAGAGGTTTGAGCTGAAAGGCTTTAGCTTCTAATCACAACATTCACATTTCCACAGCACAGTGCTAATCAAATAGTGACACCTGAATAATTTCCATATTTTCATTACCTAAGAATACTGCTAAAAACAGTAAAACATGTAGTTAACCAATTTTCAAGATTCCTATACTTGTTGGGATGGGACATCTATGCGATGCCAGCCTAGCAGCTTTCAATTTTAACTAAGAAGCCTGTCTGATAGAAATTATTCCAAGTTTATTTCTACAGCCATACGGTGTTAACCCATCTGAAGCTATCACTAATTTAACATAGGACGTTTCTCCATTAGGGATGACAGACAACTGCCTTCTCACCGACATAAAAACATGATTAGCTTTCTACATCTGAACAGATAAACGAATAACAAGGCCTGAGGATGCCAACAGAAGATACGCAGTACTCCATACCTCACCTACTCCTCCTACTAGAAGATGTTCCAGCAGATCAAGAGGCAGTCCACACAGACTGGTGAGGACAGACCTAAGCTCGCTCAGCCTTCTAGGTGATCTGAGAGATTCCTTCCAAGCTAAGCCGTTCTACGACTCTGTGGCATGATACCAAGCGTGCTGGATGCCCACTACCTGCAAGCTGACAGCCACGTTAACACGTGGCACACTGCCTCACCTCAGCTAACCAGCTGAGCAGCGGACAGGCAGCAGCACAGTGAACCCCACAGCGAGGCCGTGCCTCCCTCCCGATCTACTACTGGCAGAGAGGAGAGAGGAAATGGGGGTTCTGGGGCGGGGATGCAGTGCAGAGGCGAAGCGAAGGGGGGAGGGGGAGCAGACCGCCCCACAGGGCGCCCTATGCTGAAGGGGGGAGGAGGGGAGGGCGGTTAGTGCGTAGACTCCAGGCAACCGGCAACCTGACAAAGCGGAAACTCCCTCACGGTTAGAGCGGGAGAAGGGGCCCACTGACGGCAAGGACAAAAGGAGCCACACAAACAGCCCGCAGACGAGAACGCGGAAGGCCCCGGCGGGCCGCCTGCCGAGCGGCTCCCTCACCTCCTCCTTTCCCCCCTCCCTTTTTCCTTTCTCTCCCCTCTCTCTCCCTCCCGGTCCTCCCGCGCCCCGGCTGCTCCGCCGCACTCACCTGCTCCTTCCGCTGCCGCGCCGCTCCCCGCCGCCTCCTCCGCCGCCGCCCGGGGCGGAGAGGGTGGGAGGGGGTGAGGGGGGAGTCCGTCCTCCCGGGCCTGAGCGCGGAGCGACGCGGAGAGGAAGGCGGGGAGCGCCGCCGCTCCCGCAGCCCCACGGCGCCGCCGCTACCGCTCCCGCCCTGCCCCGCGCCACGGGGCCGCGCTGCGCCCGGCTGCGCTGCCCTCCCGGCGGCCCCTGCGCCGCCCGGCGGCGGTGGTGGCGTCGGAGGGGGCGGGAGAGAGAGCGGAAGTGGCGGCGCCGCCATGATGAGGTGGGGCGGGGTTGGATGGTTGCTGAACTCTGAGCTCGAAGCAGGTGGTCTGTAAGGTCTTTTACAACCGGAGTCGCTCTGTGGTGCAGCCCAGCTGTCTCATCCAAGTCAACTTGAGCAGGCTTTCTGCTGTGCTGTATATCCAGCGTGGCTTTTTGCTGTGTCTTGGACTGCAAGAATGCTTGTCTGCTGGATAAATAATCATGGCCAGCTAATGGTAGCAGAGCAGCCCGTGGGCAGCTCTACTCAGTATCAGCAGTGAGGCCATCATCACCTTGCCTTTATCTAAAGGTGAGAAGGTCCCGTGTGAATGTCCTTTCTGTTTGATAGTAAATCACAGAATGGCCAGGATTGGAAGGGACCTAAAGGATCATGAATCTCCAACCCCCCTGCCACATGCAGGGCCACCAGCCTCCACATTTAATACTAGACCATGTGATGAATAGAGTTGTTTTCTTGTAAGAAAATCCAGTAATAGCTCAAATGGCCAAAATGGAGGAATCTTGTAGAATCATAGAACTGTCAGAACTGTGGAAAGGACACTTAAAGGCCATCTGATTCAACTCCCCTGCAGTGAACAGTGATGCCTGCAGTGCAGTCAGGTGCTTGCAGCCCCTCCAGCCTGACCTTGGGTGTTTCCAGAGATGAGGACATCCACCACCTCCTTGGGCAACCTGTGTCTCACCACCCTGATTGTAAAAAGCTTTTTCTTATATCCAGTCTAAATTAGTTTGAAACCATTTCCTCTTGTCCTGTCAAAACAAACCCTGCTAAAAGGCTCTGTCCCCTTCTTTCTTACAGCCTCTCTTTAGATACTGAAAGGCCTCTTTCAGGTCTCCCTGGAATAGAATCACAGAATCATAGAATCACAAGGTTCGAAACAACCTGTAAGATCATCTAGTCCAACTGTCTTCTCATTACCATTGCTACCACAAACTAAACCAAATCTTGTAGCTCCTCATCCAGAGGTCTCTTGAACACTGCTAGGGACGGCGCCTCCACCACCTCCCTGGGCAGCCTGACTACTCATCGAGAGAAAAAAGTTCTCCCTTATGTCTAATCTAAACTTCCTCTGATACAACTGCAGCCATTTCCCCGGGTCCTGTTTGTTGCCTGAGAGAAGAGGCCATACCCCTCCTTGGCACAACCTCCCTTCAGGCATTTGTAGAGTGCAATGAGGTCTCCCCTGAGCCTCCTCTTCTCTAGACTGAACAACCCAGCTCCCTCAGCCACTCCTCATAAGGCCTGTGCTGCAGACCCCTCATCTGCTTTGTCGCCCTTCTTTGAACCCACTCCAGGGCCTCAATGTCTTTCTTGCAGTGAGGGGGGCAAAATTGAACACAGTACTTGAGGTGCGGCTTCACCAGAGCTGAGTACAGGGAGATGTCACCTCCCTGCTCCTGCTGGCCATGTTATTTCTAATGCAGGCCAGGATACCGTTGGCCCTCTTGGCCACTTGGGCACACTGCTGGCTCATGTTCAGCTGAGCAACAACAACACCCCCAGGTCCATTTCCTCTTTACAGTCATCCAGCCACTCATCCCCAAGTCTGTAGCGCTACATGGGGTTGTTGTGCAGAAAGTGCAGGACCCAACACTTGGCGTTGTTGAACCTCATCCCATTCACCTCAGCCCAGCGATCCAGCTTATCTAGATCACAGAATCACAGAATCACAGAATCACAGAATCACCCAGGTTGGAAGGGACCTCAAGGATCATGTAGTTCCAACCCCCCTGCCTAGCAGGGCCACCAAACGTACACATTCAGATCAGGTTGCCCAGGACCCCGTCCAACCTGGCCTTGAACACGTCCAAGGACGGGGCATCCACAACCTCCCTGGGCAGCCTGTTCCAGGGCCTAACCACTCTCCTTGTGAAGAACTTCCCCCTAACATCCAACCTCAATCTTTCCTCCTTCAACTTGGATCCATTTCCCCTAGTCCTGCTGTTGTCAGCCCTTTTGAAGAGTTTACTCCCCTCCTGGGTGTAGGTTCCCTTCAGGTATTGATAGGCTGCAATGAGGTCACCCCGCAGCCTTCTCTTCTCCAGGCTGAACAAGCCCAACTCACTCAGTCTGTCCTCATAGGGGAGGTGCTCCAGCCCCCGATCATCTTAGTCGCCCTCCTCTGGACCCTTTCCAAAATCTCCATGTCTTTCTTGTACTGAGGGCTCCACACCTGGACACAGTACTCCAGGTGGGGCCTCACAAGAGCCGAGTAGAGAGGGACAATCACCTCCCTCTCCCTGCTGACCACCCCTCTCCTGATGGAGCCCAGGATCCCATTTGCCTTTCGAGCTGCCAGAGCGCACTGCTGGCTCATGTTCAGTCTCTCGTCCATCAGGA